AGATCTGCAAGTTAGCAAAATAGCATTGATAAATTACATACAATCTATGGTTTTCTAATTCTTAATATTTCATTGCAAAGATTACTTCAGCATAAGCTATTCAATGCATTTCCAATACAACTGTAATGGTGATAGAAAGATCAGAAGATCTTAAGATCTTAAGATCAGAAATTGAGTTTATAGGGTTGCATTTCTATTAATAATGTAAAACGACACAGTAAGCACAGTTAAAAAGTCGTGGGTGCTTTTTCCTTGCATGGTGACTGGCTCCAGTTTCTCTTCAGTTGTTCTCCACCTGCTCCAAATACTTCAGAAAAGCATAATGTGTATTAATACTTTAATTCAGTAAGAATCAGTATGAGAATTTTGAACATTGTCTGTATTTTATCGTTTTTTGAACTGATATTTATTGTATTAATAATACTTCTATACTAGTCCATAGTTTCTTTTTTAAATCCCTCTGTAAACAAAAAGCTTTTGCTACTCAATCTTTCCATAAACTGTTTGCCAGTTCTTATGCTTCCTGTGTAAACTGTCCTGCCAGTTTTGTGTAGGCTGTTATTAAATAGCTGAGTACTTCAGGTGTATCTAAACTTTATATTGTCTTAGAATGTTTTTGATGTTTTAAATTACCCATTCAGTACTTGAAATTGATTAATATCTATTTTCATTTTTGTTTCAGGATGACACTGAAGAAAATTCCAATGATGGCAGCCAGCCATCCAAAAGACGGCGGATGGGCTCAGGGGACAGTTCTCGGAGCTGTGAGACTTCTAGTCAGGACCTTGGGTAATAGCAGTACTTTGGTATACCAGTAACCAATACTTTTATTGCTGGTCTTACTGTTTCGTTCGATATGCTGAAGCATCGGCTCTTCTCCACTCTTTCATATTCTTTGTTTAACTTTCTGAATTGAGTCATACCAGTAGCTATTGGTCTTTTTCTCCCAGCATTCTTTGATTTCTCCTGGTGTTGTTCTTATGCTCAGATACAGCTATTTTCCTGCTGAAAACCTGATAGAGTACAAGTGGCCACCAGATGAAACAGGGGAGTACTATATGCTTCAGGAACAAGTTAGTGAATATTTGGGTGTGACTTCCTTTAAAAGAAAGTATCCAGGTATTTGTTTTTTTTTAAGTCTTACTTCTAAAACTCTGTCTTCTTACATTTTGAATGTAATCTCTGTGTCTTTTTGACTGCAGAATGGTCCATTTAATTAAAAAAGATCATAGCAAAATTAGTTTTGTATGTTGTACTTTTTTGTTTTGTTACTGGCATTTTGGAAATGTATCCTATAGTTTGTTTTCACAGTAATTTAAGACTTTTCAGTCTTGCCACTAGAAAATCTATACAAAAGAATGAGTTGAGTGTTAGATCAGCAGGTGGCTTTTGAAAACTGACCTCAGCTTAATTCTGAAGTATTTTGTTGGTGATTTCTTACTGTAAAGCTGGCTTTATCTTTGTATTCCATTTCCTGTATAGTGCAGACTTGTTGCCTGGAAGTAAAATTCTCAAATACTGTAACGTTGTTTATGGGGGATTTTGAGTAATTTTATACACTTCTGTTGCTGTTTTTTTCTTTTGTTTTCTCTGAAGATTTAGAACGACGAGATTTGTCTCACAAGGAGAAACTCTACCTCAGAGAACTAAATGTTATCACAGAGACTCAGTGCACGTTAGGTAAGAGGAAAAAAATTCCTTGTTATTGTATAAAAAATGACACACTGAAAATGTGACTCATTTTGGTAGAGAAGTGAATGACTCACAAATGAAAATGTAAATTCTGACATGAAAACCAGTTTGTATTTTATTTTTAGTTTGTGTAAATCGGCCAAAGGCTATCAATGCTCAATATTGATTGTTAAAAACAAATTTTGGTTCTGTTCCAATTTCTTAATAAAACCTATGTTGTAAATTAGCTTTTATAACCCTTTCTCACCTTAACAGAAAAAGAACAGCATGATTTTTTAAACTAAAATTCTATCTTGTTCAGCTGAATTAGTAGCGACTCAGCAAACATTAGTGTATTTTATAGAGTTGAGCTTATGTCTTAGGTGTCAGAAGGGTGAATATTAAGCCACTTAAGTGTATATGCAATAGAACAGTGTCATGAATGCATTTTATATTGAAGGAACTTCAAGTATTTGTTCTTTCTCTGCTAATATGTGTGACTTGGAGTGTGTTAAAAATTAAAGGATGCCTGTCAGTTGTTTTTTTTTTTTTCCCCAGTGTACCCATGGATCTGTGCAGATGTTACACCACTTTATAAATCAACAGTCCTTGGTACACTGCCTTTGTTTCTCTCTTGAAACATCTCTCTGAAGTTTCAAGAGATCTCTCTTGAAAGTTTTACTTTAATATGCAGGATATAACAATATCTAATTTGTACCAGTAGAAGCAAAATGATGTATTCTATCTCAGGTATACAGTAGAGGCATGTGCTGCGTCAACTGTCCCTGTGATAACATATGCCAAATTCTGTCCTGTTGTCAATGGAGATTAGTTGTATTGGAAGCTTTTGAAGAGGGGTTGTGAGTGACTTGATAGCTGCAAAATGACACGTTCTGACTTCTGAACTTGAAATAGTTTGATCAGGAATCAGGCATCTGCGTGCAGTTTGCTGCTCTGAATTGACCTCGCAATGGTTCTTTTTTGATTTGTATAGAGAACCTGACCTCATAATTAAATAGTGAGAGGCAGTGAAACTAACCATTCACCACTGCAAGAAATTGAAACAAATGTCACCAGGTCCTGCTTTCAGCAAAGATTCTGCCTCTTAGGGGTTTGGGTTCCGCAGATGTAAGCAAGAGAAGAATCTTTCCTCCTTGGGGAGAAGCAAAGTCTTAATCAGCCTTGAAAGCTAAATGTCATAAGTTCACTCCTATGTGATAGAGGGTGAGGCATTGTGCACAGTAGTTTATTGTCTTTAGCTTGTCAAAAACTTCAGTTGATGATTGTGAGATATAAATAACCCACAGTTAGTTTTGCCAGATAGCATCATTATTGCTTTTATCTATTTTAGGTCTAACAGCTTTGCGTAGTGATGAAGTAATTGATCTTATGATTAAAGAATACCCTGCCAAACATGCTGAGTATTCTGTTATACTGCAAGAGAAAGAACGTCAGCGAATAACAGATCATTATAAAGAGTACTCTGTGAGTAAATAGCATATGTGAAGTGAACCAGATCTGTAACATGGAATATATAAAAAAGCGTTCACAAACTGGTAGTGAAATGTGTGTAAGCTAATGAAGTTGTTTTTGTTTCAGCAAATGCAGCAGCAGAACACACAGAAAGTAGAAGCCAGTAAAGTTCCAGAATATATTAAAAAAGCTGCCAAGAAGGCTGCAGAATTCAACAGCAATTTAAACCGAGAGCGAATGGAAGAAAGAAGAGCCTATTTTGATTTACAGACACATGTAGGCAAATTAAATTTTCTTTATCAATGCCAAAAGGTAGCTCCATGTTTTAGTAAGGGTGTTTCTTAGAACCTTTCTAACAATCTTATAATTCAGGGGGCTGATTAATCTCATTACAGAGACATAGGGGCTTTAACCATTTCACACCATATTTAAAAAGAATAATTTCAAATACATTTAATATAAAACTTTTTTTAACTTCTATCCATGTAAGCTTTTCCTTTGTTGTCTCTAATCTGCTGGTAACAACATAAAATTCGGAGGATGTTTAGTTTAAGAAGTTTCTGTTGTTATATCTGTGCATGTAAATGGCCAGTTCTTTTTTGGAATGCTTCTAAAATTCTCTCTGAACAATATATTTATTTAAAAAGTTAGCTGTTTATCTAAAAAAATGCTCTGTATCAAATTTTACGCCCTTATTTTTGTTAGATGTAACATTTTGTCTGTGCAAATTATTTCAGTAAGGTATATATCATGGAAAGGTAATATCTTCCTGACAGTGATACGTTACAAACAAGATGGTGGATAATTGCTTTGACTCATTTCTAAAGAAAGAAGGCTTCTGTAAGATTCTTCTTGACGTATTTTATTATTAATGGGATTTTTTAGTGGCACAGTCTGATTTTGGCATTAGATGGCGGTGTTGTTGCTACCTTCTACCACTATGGACCCTCAATAATAATTAACATCAAAGATGCCTCTCACAAAAGTTCAGGATTACTCCTTTAGACTTAAATCTGTAACACTGTTTTGTGAGTGGGATCTCTTGTCATTTTAATGAATTGAATTTTCCATGGGAGAGCTCAGGTAGCTGTTCTGATTGAGTAAATGGGATAAAACTGGCACATCAAAATATTTGCAGGGAACGGAGGGTAAGGAAAGCTCAAAAGTTTACAAAACAAGAACTTCATTGTTTTGTGTTAAACAACAGATTATCCAGGTGCCTCAAGGAAAATACAAAATCTTGCCTACAGAGAGAACAAAGGTTAGTCCTTATCCAGTGGCTCTCATACCCGGCCAGTTCCAGGAGTACTACAAAAGGTATTTTAAAAGCATTGCAACTGCTGTTTCTTTTGCACTGATCTCTACATCTGGCTGGTGGAAAACATTTGAGTATATTTGCAGCAAAGTTTTGAATTACTCTTATGCTTGAAGCAGTTGCTAGTCTAACAAATGTGCAGCATGGGGGCTTTTGTCAACATCACGTATGTAAATACTTGCTGTGAGAGTGTCCCCTCTTCTGATGTATTGTGTTGCCTGAAATTTGGCCCGCTCAGATAATCTGGTTAAATCTTGACGTTATCCTGTAGTTATTTTTATTTGCAATTTTTTCCCCTTCAGCAATCATGAAACTTGATCTGGAATCTACCAACTTAATTTGCTTTGGACCCCAACTCTTTGTGTGCCCTGGGTTAGAACAGATGCTATGTGCTTTTATAAACAAAGTATATGGCTTGTTGGCATGGATTGATTAAAAATCTGTAGACATTCAGGTGACCTTTTATGATTGCACGGGTTTGCAATGTTGCAAATATACTCTTCCTGTGTTCCATGAATATCTGCCTACACAACGATGAGAGGTACTAAATAGTATAACATTTGTGGGGATAAATAAGTAAGTTTCCCATCTTTTTAGAAGTGCATGTTTACATGTGCTTCCCTGACAAGGAGGGTTGGAGTTATTTACATTTCTTACTCTTTCTCTCTAATTTTCTTGTATATTTTGTGAGTAATATCTATGCATAAAGTGCACAGGCATTCATTTATTTATTTAATAACTTTAGATATTCTCCAGATGAACTTCGTTACTTACCATTAAACACAGCTCTTTACGAACCCCCTTTGGATCCAGAGCTGCCTGCATTAGACAGTGATGGGGATTCAGATGATGCAGAGGAAGGGCGAGGTGACGAGAAACGGAAAACCAAAGGCAATTCGGTGAGACAAATTGAAAGTATTCTTCAACAACAAAAATAATGCTTTCTCTTTGCCTTTTTTAGTTTCAGTAATTTCCTGTTAGAATCTTTTAACGTTTGTAAATGGAAGTAGAATTGCAAACTCAAAATTCCCATCTTTTTAGTGCTTCTCTATTTTGTAACATTTCTCTTCAACTTTCCGTTTTGCTCTGTTTTTAAAGTAAGTCAAACAAATCTCTGGAATGCCAGGCCCTTTTTTTCTTCTTTTTAAATAAGTTTTGAAGAACCTTCCTTCTTACAGCCTTTTACTCAAGTGACAAGTCTGGCTGCTAGTGTTTCTGAGAGGAGTGAATTTCAGTTCAGTTCACAGCATATTTTGCTATTTTGGTTTCATGGAATGTATCCTATCACTAAAGGAAAGGACTTATTAGCCTTGTTTACTGTGTTTTCCTATGAAGTAGAAGCAGGAAGTATTCAATACAGAAACAGTTACTTTATTGCTGCAGCTTAAAGAAAAGTTTGAAAGCAGTTTTGTTGTTGTTTTATGATAAATCTTTAATAGGTGTGTATGTTCTCTTTACTTATGCAAACTTCAAATTAACTGTTACTGGAATATAAGCAAAAGTTTCACATACCTGCCTTGGTAGTGTTTGTTGATACTCAGGAACAGTTGTGCTTCAGATGAGCTGTCCAGGTACAACTAAATCATTGGTATTGGTGTTGTTGGTGTATTGGTGCTGACCATTTTCTAAAAATTGAGCCCTAATTCTGAGAAAAACAGAATATAAAATCGCAGATGCATTTAACAATTTCTAGTTCAACTGACTAAAATGTTAGATAGTGGGGAATTGATAGAGGGTAAAAAAAAATGTGAAATTTCTCCATATTGTTAAATATTTACAAAATACTCATAACTAAAGAAGAATGGAAGGGGTCAGCTTGTAGAATTGCAAATGGTAGTGTTAATATGTCCTTTTTGCTTATATTTTGGGGAAAGAAAATGTAAGCTCAGAATTAAATTTCAACACAAAAATTTGGTCTAATCATACTCCAGGTTGTGGGTTTTTTTGTTTGTTTATTTGTTTTAATAGTTGGTCTTTAATCACCTCTTTGTAGTTCCCATGTCTGCTGGCTTCCATTTTTATTAATGGCAAAGTGTTTGCACTGAGCAGGTTATCCTTTCATTTTCCACAGAAGTTCAGATGGTTTTTTAATGAGAGCACACAAAAAGGAAAATGTGCTTCTGTGGGAAAGGTGTAGGGAATATTTGAAAAGAGATTCTTATGAAGTGATTTGGTGTTGGAAGGTAATGTTTGGGCAAAATATCTGTTGAATACAAAGGTAGACAGTTCTCAAGCCTCTTTTCCTGAGCTGCCTACCATTCTACCTGTTGAGTCCTATAATATGCTTTTTCCTTTTATCCCCTCCCTGTCGTTGGAGTCAGGTAGCAGTTTTCTTGGTCTGTAGTATTTTAATGGGCTTGTCCTAAATAACCCTGCCATAATTAAAAATAAATAAATAAAAACAAACACCCAACAGCTGTGAAACATACAATTTCTTTTTACCATGTAGTTAGCTTTGCTTTTCTGTTACGCTCCTCCTTTTGTCCTGTGTCTGTTTAGTCTGTTTTGATTTTAGGTTCTGGGCATATATAGGCAGGTTACAGATGCCTGTTACTGTAGGGCACCATTGTTACATGGCCTTTCAATTTTTAGTGCAAGAAATGTGATTGATTGTATTGTTTTCTGCTGGAGCTTTTTGGAGGCTTTTATTAACACTTCTTTGAGAAAAATCCTGTGCTGCTGCTCTCAGTTATGCTTATGTTGGTTTCTCACTTTCTTTGAACCTCTTCCCCTTTTTCTTACCTTCCCATTCCTCACAAAATTATTTAACTGCAGCATAAAATTTATGTTTGGTTCTGTATTAAATGTTGAAGCATGTTTTGCCTTTGGCATTCTTCTGCTGCAATCCACATGAAATATTTAGGGTGCTCCTGGTGAAAATGAGAGATGAGGGTAGCAGAAAAAACCTTTGCATATTAAATTTGAATTAGTGCTGTTTGTTAATACACTTTAAATGCATGGCCAGGGCACTTTTAACTTTTTGCTGGCCCTCTGTTACATAAATATCTTGCATACAGTTGATTTCTTGCTGACTGTCAAAGGAAAATGGTTCAAAGAACTAGTGTATCCCACTATGCTATCAAGATAACTGAAAAAGCATTACTGTTATTGCTGATGCCAGTCTTTTAGCATGAAAACAAATAGATAAGGGTTACAAGAAAAGATGTTTTATTTTGTTGTACCCCACACTTTTGTAGAAGGAAAGATGTCCTTCTTTTACCTTAGTCGGCTCTAAGGGGCATACAAAAGACTGTCTATCCAAAAAAGTAAAAAATATAGCTATGGTATTTTCATTGTAGGACAATTCGTCTGGCAATGTATCTGAAGGTGATTGCGCCACAGACAACCAGGAAGATTCTTTTCAGGGAAGACAAAAAACGAGAGACAAAAGTGCTACTCCAAGAAAAGATGGTTCCAAACGTTCTGTATTATCCAAATCAGTTCCTGGGTACAAGGTAGAAGAAAAAAGCCCCTGACTGAACATCTTTACTGACCAGCCTCTCCCTGAAATACTTGTATTTCAGTATTATGGAACTTCTGCTTGCTGTACTTCACTAGCTGCTCTCCTGTTGTGTGCTCCATCTGTTTGCTTCCTTACTTCCTTTTTGCTTTTATTTCACATGGGCCTCTCCTGTACTCTAGCTATACAGCAACCTCTGTTTCTGTTCAGTTCTCTGATTCCTAGGCAGCTACATTAGAAAAATCCATTGTGGACTGGTCGTTGGAACTCTACATCTTTCTGTCTGCCTTGACTTTGACGTGCCAGTCAGAATAGTTGCCAGTTCAAAACTAGCACTTGGTATCCGTTATTTTTTGTACTGTTTAGTACGTACCTAGAGATCAGCGCTGTAAAGTGCAGCGATGTGGCTGAACATGTTGTTATAATGTTCATTTTAAATAGTCTTTCATCTTGAAATGTTACGATGTACAGGATGAAAGGCAAGAAGCTTGCAACAATTGTACAGGCAACACTACATAACCACTTTAACACTATATGGAAAAGAACATTTTATGTAGTTCATACTATGTAGAAAATTTTGTAGGCAATATGCCTTTATCTGACTCATTAGGATGTTAATACATTTGAGCTATGAAGCAGTGATTGCCAAACCTAAGACACAAATTATCAGTATTACTGTAGAATAATTTTAAAAAAATGAGATGGTAAGAAGATTGATAAAAATACTTTTCAGAAGAAACAGAAATCGACGTGTGTTATCATTATTTTTTTCTGCTTAACAAGAAGTGTTTTGAATATAACTGAACACTTCTAAAACATGTTGTCCAATCCTGTTCCACTGAAAAGAATGAGAATTATCCTTTGATATACAGGAACAGGAATAGGTCTATAGAGAAGAAAAACATTACATTAACATAAGGTTTATAGAACAAACAGGAGTGCATGTTAAGAGAGGTTATGAAAAAGAAAACTGTCAGTGGCAAGATCATGCATATCAAGAAACTTTCTCAGCAAGAGTGTGTTGTTGATGGTTTGCATTCTTTATTCAAAACTGTTTCTGATCTATAGGCACCAAGTTAACAATAAATAAGCTATAAACTAAGAAGCTAATATACAGCAAGAATTGGATAGCTTTGATAAATTTTCTCTGCGTACAGTAACTTTAAAAATTCATAACAGGTGTGAAGCTCCGATTGTGTTTTGTCTTTCATCAACTTAAATATGCAAACTATGGAGATTTAGACTGTGGTACCATAAGTTTATTTTTTATATGTAACTTCGCAAATTGTTGTAGACTCAGAATGCATACCTACGTTCCCATGAACATGAAATCCTATGATGGCACTTGACATTCTTTTAGCTTTGTTTACCTTGACGTTAGTGATTGTGTGCCACTGGTTTACATAAAGAAGTTTCACTGAACTTTGAGATTTCTGAGTATTTGATTTAGTTTAATCTATGCATGGCCTTTTGAATGCACAGAGAAAATAATTTTAAACAACAGAACTTTAAAAAAAGTTACATTGGTGGCATACAGCATTGCATTTCGGAAATGGATTCCCATAGCAATTATGGGTTCAAAATCACCAACTGCATGAGTAACAATCTGTTACTGGAAATTCACAGTGCCACATCTTTGCAATGGCAGCTGTATCCTGCCTGCATCAGCCCTCAGCTTGTTGATAGGTCAAGGTGGTGATGTTGTGTTGGGAGGACTGGCTTTCTTGTTCATGGGAGTGTTTAAATGCTTTCAGTAAACTCGATTATATGAGACACTTTAGCTGGTAAGACAGAAAGACTTGTTTGTTAATCAGTTAAAAACACCAGATAATTATATACCACACGTGCCTGAATGTTAAGGCACTTCGAGCTGAAGACTTAACTGATTTAAAATGTTGTCCCTGTGAATTCTAAAACTTTGTAATACCTTTGTTCTGTATCATTCTCTAATATTGACTATTTTTGTAGGACAGTAAATTTGGTTACTTGTGGTTTAATTGAAGGATAATTGCTACAGCATCAGAATGCAAATGTATAGTTATAGAAACGCATTGTGAGTATTACAGGATTTACACATTTCCATGGAGTTAAATTTTAAGTAAAAGAAATAATGTATTTTGTATGGAGGCATTCTTACTGTCAGTTCTTAGACAAAGAAGGGTTAGAATGTGTTAGATGTTTTGTCACGTTACAAGTAGCAAGTCTCTGTTGCTGCAGGACTGGCTATTGCAATTGCGCACACAGGGTATTGTTGAAAGTAAAGGAGGTTTGGGTTTTTTTTTTTTGTTTTTGGTTGTTTTTTTTTTTTTTTTTTTTTTTTTGTTTGCACACAAAACTGAAACGTATTGAGAAACTATATTTTACAACACTTCTATTTCGGGTCTATATATATGCAAGTGGAATGCTTTGTGTTCAGAATATGACCTTGCAAAAATGGCATCATTGGAATGCTGACTTTGAGAGCTGCAGCACAGCAGCATGGAGATTAAAACTAACAGAGCAATCATCTATTTGACCTGCATTCTTTTCCTCCCCCTTCCTTACCCCGATTAGATGAATATGTACAAAGCAAAATATAATCGATGGGATATTGTGACTTCCCATTTGGATTTGATAACACTTCCCTCATAGTGTTTCTAAAAGCCATTTATGATAACAGAACTTGAATCGTTAAAAAATGTGAAATCTTTCTTTTTTTTTTTTTCCTTTTTTATTAAAAAAAAAAGAAAAGAAAAAAAATTACTTCCATACTGTTGGAACTGTATTATTAATAGGCTGTGATTCCCATCCTACCCACCCCCTAAATGCACGATTTCTAATAAACACAATTTAGTGAAGTAAGTGTAGATGGAAGCAGTTTTAATTAATGCACCTGTATCAGTGTCTGACTTTAGAAATACATAGAGCAGAGAGTTAATGCACGTACCCTGATGCAAGTACAGTGACCAGAAAGTAGCTCACTTTAGTTTTGATGGAGTACAAGGGAGTATGCTGCTGAATATTAAAGGCAGTGAGATACAAATTTGTAACGAACTAGAAGTCTGATTAGAGAAGTGCACTTGCTATTCTAGAAAGGCTTGATTTACTTAGAAAATAGATAAAAACACAACCACAATATAAATTAGAATGTAGGCCGAACAACAGAAGGGTAGATGCTACAACACTGACAAAGTTTAAGTGTGTGCCACTTTTGTTGAGAGGAGGAGGATATAAAGGTATACATGTAGGACACATAGATTAGTTAACAGTAAGAGACTTTATGTGTGTTTTTTGCTTCCATTATATTTATTACTTTGTAGAGACTTTTGTGAATGTTAGACTTCTTTTATTGTTTTATTATATTTATGTATAAAACAGGTTGACTATGCTTTTTTAAAATAAATAAGCAAAAAAAGTCTGTATGAATGCCTCTGTCATCTTTTGTAGGAAGTTACCAGTGAAGAGCTGGTATGGTGTTTTTTGTTTTTTTTAAAATAAAACTGTTTAGACCAGTCAACATCAGAGACAGTAACTGTGTTTTTACTTAAACAGATGGAACACTTCATAAATCCTTAAGCAATGTGTCCTGACTACTTAAATATGAGTTCAGATTATTATTTTTTTAACTAGATATAGGCACTAGCATAAAAACTGGCACGGGCAATAGACGCACTTAACTATAAGTTGCATTACAAAAGATCTGTTTTTTGTTTGTTGTTTTTAAATATATGCTTTTTTTCTTTTTTTTTTTTTTTTTTTTTTTTTTTTTTTAAATTAAACTTCATTCTTCTCCCCACAAATGGTTGGTACTTGACTGGAACTATTCTTGCTTACTGACGAGCCATTTGGTTCCACAGAAAATGGAATATGCCTTGAATTCCTCTAGTTGCTCTGCCTTTGCAGCAGCATTTCTTTTCAAAACTCTGGCAATAGTCATTAAAATCAGTGAGGACTATTGAAATTAGTGAGAAATTGGGTTTGAAATTATTAAGCAGTAGTCAAAACTCAACAATGTACTGAAATGTGTTTGAAGTTCATAATGCTTAGGTTGTTCTCGGTCCTCGTGAAGATGTTTCTGAAAAATGTGATGCCTTGTATCTTTTTTGATCATTGAGTTAGAACTCTGTTGGTTTGTCTTTTTGTTTTGGACACAGAATTAATCCACAAACGTTGCTCAGTTTAACAGGCTCCTATTTCTCTCTTACCTTCTAAATGCATCTCATGCACTCAAATAGGCTCCAGATGATCTCTTAGAAATATTATGAAACTATAATTAGGTACAATGGTGTGTATTTCTTACTGCGGTTATGACTGGACACAATAAGGAAGGGTAGCAGTATATAATACAGTTAACCAGATACTTTAACAATACAAAAATCTAGTTTATTGCTTTTGTAACTAAATTTCTATATTTAGAGAGTCAATGCAAAGGGGAAATTGTATTTAATTTATTCCACATGGAAAATCTACATGGCCATTCATAAAGAAGTATTCTATTTTGGTGGAAAAAAAAAAAAAAAAAGTACAAAATCCCTGAAATTTTTAATGTTACATCATGTAATTTACATGTAGAGGATTGTTAGCTGATGAATTCAGGGGAAGACACGCTACATGCTCTGCTCCAGCTGAACTTACACCATGCTCACTACAGGTGTGCCAAGTGTGAAATTGTACATAGTTAATCAAAGATTGAAACATCACTCATTGTCAGTTATTGTCCTATGTACTGAGGTTCACACAGCAGATAAATCATTAATTTTTAGAGTTAAGGAGATACGTTTCCTGTTAAATCTGTGAATTCTTCTGGAATGAATTTATAGTCCTCTTCTACCCTTCCAGCCAAAGGTCATTCCAAATGCTATATGTGGAATTTGTCTGAAGGGTAAGGAGTCCAACAAGAAAGGAAAAGCTGAAGCTCTTATACATTGCTCCCAGTGTGACAACAGTGGTAAGTATCTGTATGCGCTAACTGGATTCCTAAGAGAGTATCTCTGACAGATTTTTGGTGGAAGTATTTGTACTTGTGTGCGACAGTTCTCTTGCCTGTTCTCTCCTTCATTAAAGCTTCCTATCTAATGTTACGTGTACTGACACGTTCAGTGCACTATCAGATCTCACCAGGAGGTGAGCTCGGCTTCAGCTTCTGTAAAAGCAGTCTAAATAATTTTACATTTCATTTCAGACATAGTAATAATATTGGTTTTAATCTAGGCCACCCTTCTTGCCTTGATATGACCCCGGAGCTTGTTGCTATGATTAAGACTTACCCTTGGCAATGTATGGAGTGTAAAACATGCATTATGTGTGGGCAGCCTCACCATGAAGAAGAAATGATGTTCTGTGATGTATGTGACCGTGGTTATCACACTTTTTGTGTGGGGCTTGACGCTATTCCCTCAGGTAATAAAGATTTAATTGTTCTCTTCCCACCTCCTCTGAGTTCTGGGGATTCTGTCAGAATAGATGTGTTGCTTTTTGAAAGAAGTTTAAAAGCAGTTTGAAGGGTAAGAATGAACAATAGTGTTGGAAAGCATCCAGCAGGGTCCTATTTTTTCATAAGCTTTATTTGTGTATATTTACTTGTGCACAGTTTAACCTGGCAGTTCCTCAATAGGAAATATAATTGGCTTTTACAACAAAATCCAGACCCACTTGGAGCTATTTTGTTTTAAATATACATTTCCACAGAATACTGAGAATAATGATCTCTTTTCTTAAAAGAAACCTGTAAAAACACCTGTACTGCTGCATATTGCTGGAATACAGCTTTCACATTAATGAAGTGTGCTATTATTTTAATTTCTAAATTAAAAAGTATGCTTAAAATAGTATTTGTAAACACCTTTTTTAAACACCTTTCCTTGCCCTTTTTATTCTCGGATGTCATATCTGGAAGTGAGGTACCTAAATTTCAGACAGCTTATACCTTTGAATCACCTGCTCATTGGTATCTCCTGGCCAACTCAAGGCCGTGTAAAGAAAACTTCAGTGGCAAACTGGTAGCAGCACTGCTTTTCACATGATACTAAATCCATGCTATGTTTGTGATGACGTATTCAGCGACAGTATTCCCTGTAACTACTACCTCAAATATATATTCCCATTTGGGAAAGCACTAGAGCTTGCTCTCACATCAGTCCAGGTTCTGTGGCTGATTCAGCTTTCATTCTGACTTAAGGAGAGAATCTGAGCAAAATAGATAATATTCCTAAAAAACCTTAAAATGAGCAAAGAGCTTTTGAGATTCCAGCTGTTGTAATATAAATAGTTAATATTCCTGCTCTTTGCTCAAGCTGTTACTGTTCCCTCCATTAACAGGCTTTAGTACAAGGTCTGGTGTTGAGCCCCTGCCAGCACTTTAATCTGTGCTGCCCAACTGCACTGAAATAACTCACATTAGTTTGGGAAACAAGCCCTCCTAGCCTGTGGCACAATAGCAACATTCTTCAACTGCCATCATTCTTTTCTGCTGTAACCACCCATAACCTTGAACTGCGGTCATTCATATGAAAATCCAACTTGTAACCTTGTAGTTTGTAATTTCTTTTCTAAGAACCACTGCCTTAGCAGCGCTGGCCCTTCTTGAGATCCGCAAGTGTTAAAGTAACCAACTGTTACATGCAGAGAGTCTGCAAGGGATGGTGAATTGTACATGCTGCTTTCGGTACCTTTTAGAAAAGATACTTAACATTTTAAAGAAGAGCTGGTTTTATACATTAAACAAAGTGCTACAAATTGCTGAGAACCTATTGAAATGGTGAAAGGTGCATAGCTAGATGAGTGAATACAAAAAAGGTAGTTTCCCATTAATTGATAACTTTCTTTTCATAGGTCGCTGGATTTGTGATTGTTGTCAGAAAGACCCTCCCATCCCCAGAAGAGGAGGAAGAAGGGGGAAAAACAGCAAGGAAGGCTAAACTCCCCTAAAAAACCTTGCTGTTTCAAAATTTAACTGCACAAATTGAAGTGATACTTTGGTGCTATTTAACCAACCACTTTTAAGAGGAACAATACCACTGCGTTTTTCTTTTTATCAAATAAACTTTTAATTTTGGCTATATAACCACTTTTTGTGAGACAAGTCTCTAATCACATGCTGTCAGCTATCTAGACAAAAAAAGTCAAATTCCTGTTCAAAAAGAAAAAGCTTTATATAATGAAATTTAAATGGTACATGCACCATTTGTATAAAATTATAGTACCACGCTTATTTATTTCAGTGTACTCATCTGTAAGCTCTGTGAAAAGAAAATTACAGAGCAATTTAAATACATACTATTTGCATAGCAATTAATTTGAAAGACTCAAACAAGGCAAAAAGTACTCCTGGAAAAGACTAACTTTGAGGGAAAAAGTGAACACAATCTGACTTTCTTACAATATTCTGAAAATTCCTTTCAGCAAAAATTTTCTTTGCAAACTATTGAATTATTGATATAAATTTACAGGGAAAAAAAAAGGGACTGTAAACATTAAAAAAAAAAAAAAATCAATCTCAAAAAGCTATAAAAGGGAGATGTAAGAAAATACCTCTCAGGCTTAAGGTACTATATACTGCATTGCTTTTAATGAGGAATGAGAATGTTCTACTGACAAGTAACAACAGCTGAAGGCTTTCCCTCCCTACTGTAACATTGAAGTAACATGCACTTGATTCAGGTCATGGATTTGCAGAGGTGGTGAGTGAGTGGACAGGCCTCTGCTTACAGATGACTGATGTACAGCACAAGCAGTCAAATTATAGCCCCTCTATCCCCTTATTCGGTTTTTCTTCCTTCACCCTACATCCCTCAACTTCAGTACGCTTCAAAGCCATTGCTTGTTAGTTATACTGAAGGTAACCTGTCAGAAGAGCAGGATTTACTTTTAAATATGCTCCAAATTGAGGGCGCACTACAGAGCAGCAGTTTGTATTTCAGTCTTTATCAAGAAACTAATGACAGAAAATCATTAAGAGTTAATTTTTCCTAAGCACCTGTTTAGGGATCCCCAGCTCTACATTCATTTTTAAGCCCTGATCTCTGAAGAATACTGCAAATAGCACAGTTGCTGCTCCTTTTACTTTTAGGGGAAAAAAAAACTTACAATATAAAATTAAATATGGCTTTTTTCCTCCCCACCACTTTCCTTCTGATTTACGAAAATCAAACTGAATACTTCTTCAGGAAACAATAAAGAGTATTAAATATAGAAAGTTATTCATGTTCAATTTCACAAACTGAAATGTGATTTAGTCCATCACGTATCAATTTAAAAAAGAATTTCAAGTATTAACTTCAAGATTCCAATAAGTATAGTCCAGAAAACAGACTCTTCATCCTGAGATTCATCTTCTGTAGAGTGCGAGTACTTCTGGCTTGCCTCCATCTCCTCTGGATTGTAGGAAGCCTCACCAAATGGATACTGTACGACTGTTCGATCATAGTAGACTTTCATTTCAAACTCGCTCTCCTGGTGGGAGGGATGCCCATAAATCCCTATTCCCACTGGTCGGCGGAAGTGTGCTGGTACGTGGACAACGTCTTGGCCACAAGTAACAGACTGTAACTCGTACTCGTCAAAGCTGGGGTGAAGAGTCATATCAGATACATACAAATCCGCATCACCTTTTAAACTCTGCATCTGAAGTACTATCTTTCCCTCATGATTTAGTCTCAAGTAGCTGTAGTTTCCTGCTCCAATCTGGCCTTGAACAACATGAAGAAGAATCCATTCTTCAGGTACATCCTCTTCCTCAAAGGCATTTACCAAACATAGTACTCGAGCTGCCACAAATACTATCAGGATTCTCCTCCAGCGTGCTGCCATGGCTCTTACGTTTTATTCTGATTCTTCCTATTGTCAAGTCCAGTACTCTGTGAATACAAAACGATTTAGAGTTAGTATATTTCATTCCTGGAAGGAATCAGTTCTTGTTCACACCACATCAAGCAACTTCAATAAAAGCTGGTTATTTACTGAGAAAACACAATGCGCTAAATGATGTGTAGATTATTTCTCTTCCCAAAAGCAGCATATTGTCACCGAAGAAGCGTATGTACTTTCATCAAGTTTTTGTTACTATATGAACGCTCAGCTCTTTACAGCACTTTTACATGACAGCTCAGGCTGCTGGGGCAGGGCAGAGAGGGAAGGGGCTGTTACACAATCAAGGCTCCCGCACCCTTTCCCTCGTTGCACACTGCTGCCCAGGCGGCCTCAGCACAGCAGCTGCACACAACGCACACAACACACTCTAAACCTTGCCGAAAACTTCCAAAGAATGCAGCTGACCGAATTTAAATGCCAGTCAAGGGTGCTTTAAAGCTTCAGATGGCTTCCATCCCTTCGTGCCTTCCACAAAGACTGTACAATTACCTTAAACATTACAGCTACTACTAAACTGTTGGTAACCTGCTAGCATCAAAACAAACCGCATGACTCCCGCTGAAACGTCAGTTAAATCGCACGCGTTTTATAGCTGACAGACGGAGGAACAACAGCACACCAACTTTTCTATAGCTCCCAGCTTACGGTCGCATGGGCTTCAAGGCCCCAGTTCTGCAACGACAGCATACAAGAGAACAGCCCCGCCCTCGTAACCTTCCAAACCAACAAAAACCCCTCTGAACAGCGCCAGAAAAATAGCCGCCTACCTTTCGCTGCGCAGCTCACCTCCGACCCGCCCCGGGGCTTCGGCGACTGCGAGGCCGCGGCTCCGTAGACGTGCGGCAGGGCAGGGCGGCGCGGAGAGATCCCGCCCCAAGGCGGGCCGGCACACCCCGACAGCAGCGGCCGCACAGAGGCAGCGCGGAGGCCGATTCCGAAGAGCCTCCGGGCCCGGCACCGCCCCTCTCGCTTCGCCGCTCCCCTCGAACCCGGCCCGGACAGCGGCGCGACGAGCGGGCGCCGCCTCCCAGCCCCGCCCCGCAACCGCCACTCACCACCGTTGCGGCCGCCGCCGCCGCCGCCTCCCCGCCTCTCCCGCGCACCGCCGCAGGCGGGCCAGGCGGGGCTGCGCGCTAGCCGCAGACTGAGCCCTCTGCTATCGCGAGAGTTGGGCTGCGCGCGCGTCCGTCGCTCTGGCAACCCGCCCCGCCCACCTGCTCCTGGGTGACTGCGCAACGCGCAGCGGCGCTTGTCCCTCTCGGCGACCCGTCGGCAGCGTCGCGGTTGCCATAGTGACCTCCCACGAGCTCTCTCCCCGCCCGTTGCTCGGCGGCTGGGTGGCTTCGTCCCGATCCCCCGCGCAGTTAGGAGGTCGGGACGCACCCCGAGCCGCCGGCGGTGCCCCGCTGTAGGATGGAAAGCGAGGGCGACAGTTGTTCGTGGGGAAGGAGCGAAGACCCTGAGGTCGTCCGCGAAAAACGTCTGTTTAAGTCCAGGTTGCCGGAGTGCCTCGTCCAGGTGGCGTGCGGACACCAGCACTGCGCCTTCCCGCTGAATCGCAACGAGCTGTGCGTCTGGAATACAGCTGGCAGCCCTGCTGCACAGGTAACAACGCCTCCCGCTGTACTCTGTAGAAAAACGTCAAAAGGGAAGGCATGGAGAAAAAACATGGTGATGAAGCATTAGGTTTCATTTCTATGTATAGAAGGTGCATTTATTGTGAGCTTTGTTGCTGTGATGAGAATAACTCAAGGGGTTTTGGTGGCCTGAGTCTGGCGGCTGGTGAGTTGCATGCAGCCGCTGGCTCACTGCCTCCCAGAATGAGCGAGAGGATCCATAGGGCAAGAGTGAGAAAGGCTTGTGTGCTGAGATAGAGGCAGCATAATGAGAGAAGGACAGGGGAAGAAAGTGATGCAAAGGTAAGTGCTTCTTGCAAGCACAGTGGTGCCCAGTCACCTTCTGATCAACTCCTCAACATCTTTCATTGCTGAAGATGATGTGTTATGAGGACAGGCTGACAGATCTGGGAGCCTAGTGAAGAGAAGGCTCCGGAGGACCTTATAGCACTTATAGCAGCCTTCAAGTACCCAAAGGAGGCCTACAGGAAAGCTGGGGAGGGACTTCTTAGAAGTGCATGTAGCGGTGGGACAAGAGGAAATGGTTTTAAACTGGAAGAGGCTAGATTTAGACTAGATGTTAGGAAGAAAATCTGTACTGGAACAAGTTGCCCAGTGAGGTTGTGGGTGCCCCCTCCCTGGAAGCATTCAAGGCCAGGCTGAATGGGGCTTTGAGCAACCTGGTCTAGTGGGAGGTTTCCCTGTCTGTGTCAGGGGGGTTGGAACTAGATGATCTTAAAGGTCCATATCAATTCAAAACATTCTATGATTATATGATTCTATATCAGGTGGTATGGGAAACTCCTTTCGCCAGCTGGGGGCAGCTGCCCTGCTGTATCAGCTCTCTGCTTCCTGCCTGCCCCCAGCCTACTTGCTGGAAGTTGGCACATCAGAATGGCAAAATGAGAAAGCCTTGACACCGCTGGCACTGTTCAGCAATGGTTGAATATTTTGCATTATCTACGTGTGGCCAGATTAGACACAAAACCCAGAACAACACCATATAAGCTGCTACAAGGGAAGTTTACCTCATCCCAGTACAGCTATATTGTAAATTATTAAGTGATTTTGGAACAATGAAAGAAAATGAATTTGAAGCAGTTATTTTGTTAATTTTTCAAACATTATCCGTGTAATTTTACATTGTTTGTAATTTTAATTTGAAATGACTTATTTTTCTACCTACTTTTGTCAGCCATTATGTTTGTCAGGACATCAGCATGCAATTTCTGCACTGTCTTTTGGAAGTAAAATCAATCCACTTCTAGTCTGCTCAGCTTCCCATGAGCGTGTGATAGTGTGGAATCTTGATGAATGCACAACAAAACTGCGAGACGGTAGAGTATTATTTACATAACATATATATTAGATATATATGCAATAGAAGGAAATCACTCACTGCCACCTATAAGCCTAGCAGTGCTGAACCCATCTCTCAACAATGACCACCTTAACAAACGACCCTCCAACACCTTCTTCCACTATTACTTGTATAATAAGCTGTTATTTCTGAGTAGAACGCATTAACCTCTCAGATTCAACGATTCTAAAAGTATTTAGAGATACTAGAGATAGAGATACGAGATACTAAAAGCTTTATTTCCTGGTTGCCCTCCCCCGGTGATGCCAAGCCGTAGCGCAGCCCGACCGCCTTACCGCATCCGAATAACCGGCGCGCTGCCGCGCTGGCAGGGCAGGGAGCTGGCCATGGTGCTGACCCGCAGCTGAGGTTGGGCTGGGCTGAATGGCGGCTGTTGGCAGTTTAAATGGACTGAAATGTATAGGAAGAATGAAAGAGAGCAAGTCATGGCTCACTAGTGCCTCAGTGACACTGTCCTAAACATATTGTTATAGTATTATGATTTAGAGGCTTTATGACCCACTTTTTGTGTCAATGTTGTGGAAGAGTCAGGTGGCCCATCATTGTTAAAAATGATGTTGATTTGCCTATCATTTAATGTGTAGAAATTGTGTTTCGTACTCTGCCATGGTGAATGTGCAAAGCTACATATTATTAAAAAAAAAAACAACACAAAAAAACACTCGTAAAGGAATGAGAATGTTTTAAATACTTTTATAATGAATGTTATTGTTACACTTTAATCCATGCAAGTGTAACATAGTTTCAGGGAATGATTCAGGGAGTGGGCATGAAATTGGACTAAAAATTCAGGGGAAACAAGCATGGAAATTAATTAGAGTCACTTAGTGGAAGATCAGTAGACAGTCTGTGTACATTTAATATAAAGACATTTGAAAGCCAGATTCACTGCTGCTAGATTTCCTTCTTCACCTTTCTGTCTCTGTCCACACGCTCTTCAGCAGATGCTGTGTAGACTGTCTCTGCCCAGACTGCTCTCTGCACAGTCTTGGACTATTTTTTTTTCACGTTATTTTTATCAAATGTCAGGAACTTGAGTTCTTTATGTGATTCATCTCTCCGTGCTGATAAACCTTGATGCATTAATCTGTTATAGAAAGACTCCTCAGTGTCTAGAGTAAAACCTAGAAAAAGACATCTGTAGCTGTTGTGGCTATGTTCTGGTTAGTTTGCGGCCTATGGAATCCTAAGACTTGATAAGATGTCCAAAATCTGTGCACTGTTGAAGGCAGCATCATAAAATGTGGATCTACAAAACGACTGAGATGAACATAATGATGTGGTGATAAGAGGGATGAAAAATGTCTGTTCTCAAAGCCATTCTTATCATCCTACTATGTAATGATTTGTAGTGGTGTACTCCCCAGTTCAGCCTTTTCCCAGAGAAGAATTAAAACCAGAAGAAAAGTCTCCTTGCTTAGTGGCTGAGTGGCTGAAATATTCACCAAAAATATTCAGAAATATTTTTCAAATCTCTGTTCTGCTGGGTTTGAATCAGGATTTCCTGTCTCCAAAATGAACAAGGCACTACTAGGTTCTCTAGACATGCCATTCTGCTACAAAAATTCTATCCTTGACATCAGTGAGATTTGATATGCACGCTTATTATTAGTGTTGCAAAGAGTACCATATATGGTCTAGGCAAGAAGGTAGATGGAGAAATCTTACTGGTATGTAGTTCTGTGCTTTGCTTTCCAATAACCTAGTCTAATTGACTAGATGATCTTCCAACCCATATTGTTATATATTATTAAATGATGGGTTACTCTGTATATTTTCCTGACAGATACTGGTATAAATGTCTTGTTAGATAGCTGCTATGCAATGTTTGTGAGAATCTTGCTGCATCAGAATTTTAAATCTCAGTAATAATAAAATTGCTGCAGGGATAACACCTCAAGGAATTATTATTGGAACTCTTATGAGATTCGTTCTTCATGTAAGATTTAGTCCAGATGATCAACAAGTGGCAGTATGTGCGGGAAATCGAATCTACATGTTAAGTGCAAAGGTGAGATACCATTCTTTGTAGCTACAGTGCTGTTGTTTCTTAAAGTTCATCACTTTCAATAAAATCATGATGTGGTAATGTATGCATTCATATTCTCATTTAGAAGAAAACAAATGCAAATAAATGCTGAATAGCATTATCAATGACATCATAAAAATGATGACAGAGTAAAGTGTTAAAGTTAAACAATATCTCAATGTTCTGAAAAGTCTGAAAAATTATTCCTTTATCACTCACTTTGAAAAAGCAAATGCAGCATGTAGTGTTTTCTGCCAGCAGAATGATATACGTGGCTATATTTGGCTTAAGAAAATCTTGTTGAGTTTGTAATTTGAACCTAAGTCTGATATTATTTTTAGCAATAATTCTTAGTTATTAAGACCTTGAATTAATTGCCAGCTTTGTTTTGAAATCTGCTTTGCTTTTATTTTGACTTTCCTATTCGTAGAATGAAGCTATACTAGTTAAATTGAATGGCCACCTGGCTCCAGTGACTGCTGCTGAGTTTTGCACGTGGGAGAAAAATATGCTTATATCGGTGTCTGAAGACAGAAGCTTCAAGGCAAGGAAATTCTTGAGCTGCATTAAAAAAAAAATAATAGAATTAATGAATTTTTGAATTAATGTTGTCTTTTTTTTCCTAAAAATATTTGCTGAAAGCTAAGCAAAAGTCATCTTTGATATTATAGAGACCAAGATATTGTTTTTAAGAATTGCTTGTAAAGTTATTGTAAAATTTTTTTTTTTTTTTTTTTTTATTTATTTCTAATGACAATGAAGGTTTTTCATAGTCAAAACAGTACAGTGAAGTGTTAACTTTGGTGATTTTTATTATCTGGCAAATAAACTCTGGCACTTATCGATTAAACAGAGCCCGACATGATAAAGAGGCAAACAAATAAACAAACCCTGTGGAAAGCAACCTTACTATATTGCATCGCTTTCAGTGGCTGCATTTCCTCGTTTTCACCACTTGATGGCCTTTAAAAGTTTGTTTTTTCCTAAGATCTAAGTAGGTGCCTATCTTATTTTGTTTTTCTCCACAGGTATGGGACTATTCTACTGGACTGTTAATGTATCAGTCAGGGATATTAACAGGTAAATTTTCCTTTTTTATATACTTTTGCACAGCAAAATGTATTGATCTGAACAATAAAATAAAATCAGAATGTAAATGTTTAGTTGATCTAGTAAAAATATTTCTAGTAAGCTATATGCTAGGTCATATACTTTCCTTTAAAGTGGGTAGGCAGTTTCAGTGTATATTTATAAACAGTTCTTGTACAGAATATGCATTTAACTGTTGGCATTTACTGAGATGTGTAAATAGTTCTATTGTCTATGTGCTTTTTTTTAAAAAAAAAAAAAGTTTTGTGTAGGAAATGAAAAGAAATACTGCAAGTGTACCATATGTAGGTTTATTAGCAGGGCTTGTTGTTGAAGGCATACATCGACTTTAAAGTCAAAAGCTGCGTTTTATAGAAAGATGAGAACAAAAGGAGAGGAGGACAAGCATCAGCGCAGCAAGGACGCTCCTCTGCAATAGAACTTTTCCTGAGAGTAACCATATGGTTTTCACCAGAACATGCTCCAATTCTGTGTTGGTTGTTCTTGCTTATGGTGCAATTAGAGCAAGTTGGAGCACACTTCGACTGGGGGAAGGAACTACGTGGGAAATGGTTGTTAAGCTTTGCGCTTATCTATTAGTAGATGCCTCAAAGCAAAGGGAGAGCTCAAACCTATGGTAGGAAAGAAGAGGAAGAAGGAATGACTCCTCTCTGAGCCTGTGGCAGTTGCTTTGATTGAACTGGTTTGTAGTAGCAAGGCCATGAGAATAACAGTAGCTGATCTGACAATGGGGCTCTGAAAAATATTGCTATTTAAGCCTGGGTGAAAGGGTGCAGCAAACCATGGCCTCTGCAGTGTGGATAGAAGGTTACTGAAAATCTGCCATACCAGTTTAGGAAGGCAGGCTACAGATCTAGAAATGGAAAACCCACTGCAACAAAAAAAAGTGAAGACCCTTTGCTTTAGGGTTTTGTTGTTGTTGTTTTGTTTTGTTTTTACCTTTCTTTATAAATAGGAGCTATCAATTTTGAACAAAATTTCTGATTCATGTGTATTCTGGAACTGATTGCAACTTTTTTGGAGCAGCATTTCCTTTGCTGAGTCTACTAATTGACGAAGAAAAGAGACAGATCATCACTGGATGTGCTGAAGGACAGGTAGTAGACATAAAAAATAATCTCTATGTGACAAAATAGTCAACTATCATTAATTTATCTATCAAGAAGCATCACAATTTGCATGCTACTTTTAAAATGCTACAATAATTATTTTAGCAAACATAACAATATAACACCTTTATTACAAAATGCAAACTTTTTCCTCAAAACCATTAGTTTTTAGAACTGCAATCAGTAAGTATATGTACACTGAGATACTATAAGTATCTGTTTTAAAAGAAAAAAGATGAAAAGCAGAATTCTCATTTTTTGGCCAAGGAATAAAATAAATAACCATAAATGGGAGAGACCATGATTTTAGTGTGGTGGAATTCTAAGAAAAAATGTGATAAATGTACTTCAAGCACTTGAATTCTTCTTTAATTTAATGCTAGGAATAAATTAATCTGATTTTTTTCTGTGGCATATTGAAGCTCTCTTCCTCCAGTGTAAGTGTTCAATGGGCCATGAAGAAAGTTAAATATGTAAATATGGTGATGCCTAAAAAGACAAAGGTATTAATGAGATTAACTTTTTTGGGACCATTAAGCAATTGCACGCAGATAGCCTAGGATTTTTAATTGTAGGTAATAGTCTGTGAGGAGCTTTTAAAAGACATAAACATATGGGAATTAGACATGCTGTTCAAACTGATAATGGCTTCTTCTGCTAATAATGAAATTACCTTTGAAAAGTTTGGGATATAGATAGATGTAATTTAATTTCTGGTCCCAGGTAAGATGAATAAAAATTCATTACTTACATAAGCAGAGTTCAGTATTGAACCTCTAGCTCATATTTGTATAATTTCATTGCCGTTGCTTTTCTTTTGTTTTCTTTCAGCTTTGGATCTTCAGTTTAAGCAGTGATCATAATTACCGTTGTGTGGCACATACTGACTTAAAGAAAGAGCAAGAGAAGTTCTATAATAAAATCTGGAAATCTGAAGAAGAATTAGGTAGCATAGTGCTTCTAGTATGCTGGTTTTGCTATATTTCAATTGTTATTGACTACTGTGTGTGTGTGCCTTTTATGCCATGAAAGGTAAGTGATAGAGTTTTGAATCTCAGTCATATGGAATCTTTTATGAAGTTGATATGAAGGTGGGGATTGGCATACAGGGAGGAATTATGCATATATGTCTCTAATAACATCTTGGATAATGTATCTGCTTGTAAATCATTTCATGATACATGTAAGAATAAAATCAATTCCTAAAAAAGATAATCCTTTGTCTAAGTGGAGTACCATTTCTCAGTTACCTTTGAAGCTTCTAAGAATCTTCTATTTTACGCTGTGTTATGTTATTTTATGCTATATGTTTTGCTATGCTATATTGTTTTATGTTTATACCGGAGCGCCCATGATATATTATTTAACTGACAGTGGTATTTTTATAACACTGAGTATTTATAAATGAATAATGATTGCACCTCAGCAAGGTGATTCTCTGGCTCAAGACATCTCTATCTTTTGAAATTGAAAGATAGTGTGGTCTTATTTCATGCTATTTTACTGCATTAATTTTAATTCTCTCTTAAATCCCTTCTTTTTGCCTCATTTCATTGTTTCGTTGACCGATGATATTGTTGATTGTTGTTTTTTTTTAGGTGGAAGGCAAAATGCTTCTGAGCTTTGCAAAACAAACAGCATGAAACCAGAGGGGTCAGTGGAAGCATCATTGCCCGTTCTCCTAATTGAACACTGTGACTATTCAGTATGTTTCCACAATGAAGAAAATATGTAAGTCCTTTAAAATATCACCAGGTTCTTAGGTTATTTTCACAGCATCAATTTTAATTGAAACTTTTTCCTTTGAACTACAGATTTTAAAAGTGCATTTAAAATCTTCTATGGGATGGCTTATTATTTTTGTCATATTGGGATCAAGTTAGCTAGTATTACTGTGTCTTACATAATAAAAAAAAAAAAAAAAAGAAAAAGAAAAAGCTTCTTTATCATACTCAGGTATGTTTTCTTTCTTCTTTTTTTTTTTTTTTTTTTTTTCCTAATAGATGCTGTGCCCAGAATAGAAGCTATTTTTGGATAGGAACCTCTACTGGCTTGTTATTAATAAATTTAGCAAACTTGGAACTGGAAGCATTTTTATGTTACAAAGGTATCATTAGAAAATGTCTGGCTACAATCTAACATGATTGCTTTTCTTTGTTGGCTGATACAAATAGTGAAAGAGTTAATACAGCAAAAAAATGTTTTTTAATATTTTAATTTAGCAATTAATTTTACTGTGCTTTTCTGTCACTGATGACTTGTTTCAGAACATGTGTCAGTACTAGATTTTTGTAGAGGTTACTAATGAATTCTTATTCAATTTAGCAAGCTAATTACAAGGCATGTTATTCTACTCATACTTCATGATGTGGCTGTAAGCTAGATGGGTATATACTGAAAATCATGGGTTATGATTATATCAAAACAGCATGAGTAAATTTTTTTCCCTTTTAAATGTAAATACATCTCTTACCACTGTGTTCTTTTTGGTAAAGATTACAGTGGCCTCAGCATTCGATTTGCTAGATTGTGTTCATTAATGAAGAAAGCAGTTAATGGAAAGGTGAGTATATAGTTAGCATTTATTTAACGAATGTTTACATTTCCAGTTATTTTTTATAAATGTTAATTCTGTATTTTGTATACAAATCATGTACATGTATACTTTTCTATTTATTCAAAATGTGAATTGCAGATTTATTTCTCTGGAGATGATTCTTTAAGGAGTTTTCTAGTTTTAATAGTTCTCAAAATTTGAATACTATCTGAAGTGACTAGAAAGCAAAAGGTGAATTGTTTTTTGTGGTGTTTGGTGTGTACCTTGAATGTCAAGAATGACCACTGAGGGGGCAGAGGCGCTGCCTTAGAGGAAAAAAAGGTAAAAACATTGTTACACCTTTTCCTCAAACAGATGCTGGGATGAACTTCTGAATCTTTCCAAGAAATCTGCAAAAACTGAGTTGTGAGAAAATTTCTGTGGAAAATCAGCAAAAGAGCTTTTTTAGGAAATGAAATATATACATATAATATTACATTCAAGCAACATAAGCATATTTTGAAGGACACCATTAAGTACCTTTTACTGCTTAATGCTGTGAGACCAAATCTATGGATATCTCTGAGTAATTTTCATTATTAAAAAACAGTTTCATTCTCTGTTATAAATACCTTTGTATTAGAGCTTAAATTGTGAAGTACATGGTGTGCTATTTTATAGTGTAATTATTGCAGGTTTTATGCTTGGTCACTTCAATGTTTGAAGACATCATCGCTGTGTTGGAAGTTAACCCTGCTTTGTTGGTGACATCTCAGCAGAGTGGTATTCTTAAAAGTGGAAATGAAGGGAGTCTATCAGTCATTGCCAGGTACAGAATAACTTAAAATGTTCTTATTTTTTTTCAAAATTGGATAATGCATTTGTTTTTCTGACAGGTATATCACATGCTTTTGTACAGTGTTATTTTCTGACTTGGATTAACTTTACTTGTTTCCCTGTCCTGCTTTATTGCACTGAGTGGGAGAAATTACTAAATTGCATAGAGTGGTTGGGACCAGAAGGGACATCTGGAGGTCATCTTGGAGGTCCCTTCTAAAGCAGGGACACTCAGATCAGGGCCCAAGTCCAGTTCGCTTTTGAGCACCTTCCAAGAGGAGACTCTGCAGCCTTTCTGAGAAACCAGTATCAGTGTTTGATCAACTGAACAGTGAAGAAATGCTTTTTGGTAGTTAGCTGGGGCTCCCTGTGTTCCACTTTGTGAACATTACTTCTTTTCTTGTCACTGGACACCAATGGACACAACCTCTTTTGCACTGACCCTTCAGGTATACACTGGAAAAATCCCTGCTGAGTCTCCTCTTCTCTAGGCTGAACAGTCCAAACTTTCTCAGTCTTTCCTCACAAGAGAGACACTACTGTCTCTTCCTTGTCTTTGTGGCTCTTTGCCAAACTCTCCCTCCAGTAGCACAATGTCTTTCTTGTACTGGGGGATGTGAACCTGAACATTAAAACAGAGCAGAGGGGAAGGATCACCTGCTTTGACCTGGTGGCAGCACTTCTTGGTGCACCACATGACACCATTGTCCATTTTTGCTGAAAGAACGCATTGCTGGTTCACTTCCTGTATGGGGTTTGCCAGCATCCTCAGGTCCTTTTCTGGACTTGCTGGTCCCCTGCATGTACTGGGGCCTGGAGTTTTTCTTCCCTATATGCAGGACTCTGTACTCTTCCCTGTTGAACTTGTTGATGCTTTTGCCAGCACACTTCTCCAGCCTGTCAGGATCTCTGGATGGCTGCACAACCCTCTAGTGTATCATTCATTCTCCCAGTTTTGTGGTGTCTTCTGAAGCCTTGATAAGGACACACTCCACCATCCAGATTACTAATGCAGATGTTGAACAGGATTGGTCTCAGGACTGATCCCTGAAGTATTCCACTAGTTATTTGATTCCTGCTAGACTTTGTGCCACCAATCACTTCTGGGCCTGGCTGTTCTTGCTGTGTGCTCCTCCAGCCCATACTTCATCAGCCTCTCTATGAGGATCTCATGGGAGACAATGGCAAAAGCATTCAAGTCCAGGTAAACCATATGAACCACTTTCCTCTTGTCTACAAGATAATCACTTAATCACAAAAGTTTATAAAGTCAGTGAAGCATCACTTCCCTGGCAAATCCATGGTGATAGTTCTCAATGAGTGTCTGGTCCTTCATGGTCCTTGAAATGACTTCTGTGAAAACACTGAAATTTCACGTCACAGAAAAACCTGATGTGTATAGTGAAGTGAAGTGAAAATGTCATGTGTAGATTATCACAAATTAGTAAAAATAAGTTTTGACACCTTTTCCTAATCTGATTTTGTCCATTGAATTTATCAATTATTTATTTATTTTTTTATAATTAGGTGTCCGCTGTTGCCAACATCTCCATTGTGTAAAAATTTAAATAAAAATAAAAAACATCCGGGTAAAACGCATGGTAAGTGTAAAACAATCTTGATATGAATTAATAAAGTCATATTTTTAAAAACTGTAAAAGACTGTCTGGTGCCTATTCTAATCAATATATTTATTTTTTAAGTTATATGTATTTTATTTTTATTTTATTAGACAGAATGTTATTTTTCTAGTAGTATTTCATATTGTACCCAAATATTTGTAGTGAAAATGATGATAATGTGATGTTTTTCTTTCTTAAAATATAGTCTTCTGAGAAATGTCAATTTTGAAAGGGTTAAAGTATGTAGAATGCTTAAATTTTTTCATATCTTTTCATAGCGTGGAATATAATTTTCTATATAACTTGACTTTCTTTCTTATTTTTAGTTAAACATTTGATTGGTTTTGTTGTCCTGAATACTCTTTTGTTAATACTTGTAAGTTTAGGAAATTTACTTTTGACTTTAGGTTTCTACTACTCAAAAAAAAAAAAAAAAAAAAAAAAAAGAAAGGTCTGACTTTCAGTTGCTATTGGAGAACATACAACTTCTTTGCTTAGTAGTACTAAAACTAGGTTCAGAAAGTACCTAGAAAATATTTTTTTTCATAATCACCTTTTCTTTTGAAAAGATAGAAAATAACTGGTAGCTGTAGACACTCAGAATAATTTATTTTGATTCTATTGATTGTAGTTGATGGACATGCTAGAATGTCAAAGGTTATAGTTTTGGTTTTATGTGGAAATCTGAGAAAGCATCTGTTTTTGCTAGAATTTGAAGCTTCTTCTGAAACCCAACGCTGTGTTATTATTGATGTCACATTCAGATATCTTAGTTGTTCTAAGGAAATCCTATGATATCTCAGAGCAAGTGATGTCAGGCATTCTTTAGGAAGGACCATTTTCTCCTTTGTGATTACATATAGAGAAGTGATAGCTGATGGAAGCTAAAGATGTGTCTACTCTCAGCACTGGTAAATGTGCCCACGAGATCACTCACAATGCACCTGAAGGTTTTCCCTTGGAATATGAACAAGATTTCCACACCCTCCCACTCCCGCCTTTTAAATTTAATTAGGTCATTTCTGCTGATATGAAATGCTCGTATTTAGTTTTGAGCTGGAAGCTGCCCTTCAGGAATGTTATTACAAGAGGGTGAATGCAGCCATTATTAATGACTTCTCAAGCCACATAAAAGAACAGTCATTTATGTGCACCTACTAGCCAGTTTGTTTCAGATCTTTAGATATATTCCAAATGTAAGTTGTGTGTATTTTATAGCTAGTAAATAGAAAACCTAAGCATAAAGTAGGCTACTACAGAATACATTCACGAGTAAATGATGAAAAAAGTTCCTTAGAACAGTATTTTTCGTTAGTTCAAAGTTTAGAGAAGTTCCTACTTGATATTATTTAAGGAGGGATATTATGCAAAGAGATAGTTCATTTCTTTCCTTTTCTCAGTCTTTCAAAGTTGCTGATCATAGTTGTGTTTTGTATTACAAGGAGACATTAAAAATTGCCATTGTTCTAGCATAACTGTATATCCATAAACTTGTAAAAATGTAACGTCACATTAGGAAGCTCTTCAGTGAATATTAAATTATTTTACTATAGGAGCGAAAAGCACCGTGAAAGATCAACCACTGGTTTTTCATAATAAAATTAAGTCATCGGGTTATACAGCTGCACCACAGTGAGTAGATACACTTGTATTTTATCTGTTTTACTGGGATCTGATATTTTGTCATGTAATAGAGATGCATAGTCTCACCACTGTGAAATTGATGACCCATGAAAAATAGACATGATTTTAACAAACATAGTCCTTTTAAAAACTTTGTAAATTTTCACAGCTTTTGATCAGTGATCAATTGCAAGTGGTCTTGAAATGAAAACTTCTGTGTACATTTACACAGTGTCTGTTTCTAAATACTATGTCACTTAAACCCAGTTAGTTCTTTCCTTTGTTCTACTCACATATAGCATTCTCAGATCAACCCAGGGAGAAGTATGCCATTTATTTCCTCTCAACCATCCTTTGAGATGGGCCATGTTACAATTTTATGAGCCGTACAACCTCTCTTTATTGGCATGGTGTTATTTTTGAAGAACCTTCAGGATTGTTGTTTTTCATTTTTATTTTTTATTAGGAGCTTCTAAAATCACTTGAGGAACAGTTCTCCAAAAGTTTGCTGTAGCTTTGCCTGTTTTTTGCTGGCTTTTAAAGGTTTATCTTTGGATGGAGAACTCACAGTCACAGATGAAATGAGTAGTGTTTTGTTAGTGTTCCCCACATGAATGGAGAATTCGTCAGTTTCTCAGAGCCACAGATAGATCATAGAGACGGCACTTCATTTTTGGTATAGATTATTCTGGACAACACCATCCTTTTGTAGTATAGTTGTTAGAACATAAGTAGAATGGTGCAAGGTATTACATGAGAAATTACCCTTACTTTGAATGCAAGTGAATATTGGAACTGAGAAATTAAGAGCCAGCTTTTACCTGTCAGCAATAGATTTCTTTTAAGTGATCTTAGCGAAAGTCTGCTTATGACTACATATTCAGATTGCAACTGGGGGCTGTGGTTTTTATCTTCTGAGAAAAACCGTTAAAGACTGGGACCTCAAAATAGATTCAATCATTTTGAAATGATGAACCTGAACCTTTTTGCTGATTTCTGAATGTTCTGTTTGTGTTCCTAATTCTGTGAATATAGAGATTGTGTTGTCTTTTCTCTCCAGTTTCTCTCAACCTAAAAGCCTTGGATAAGATAGGATGAATACAGTCACTGGACTATTAGTTTAAAAAAGTTCTATTCATCTCATTCCTAATTCCATGATCTAGAATTTCCTTGTTTAATCGAAGCCACTACTGAAGCATCCCTTGAGAACATGACTGAAACTGTCCCCAGCAATAGATAGAAGTTTCAGAGGAAACTATATCTGGCTTAAGGACATCTATGAATTTTCTCCTGCATCTCTTGTATCTCGTTTGTAGCTTTGCTTGTCAGTTAAAGGAGCTTTTGGTTGTGATGATGTGTGCAATCATTGTGATGCTGTGTGGGATAGATGAAAACCATTCATTTATCCCACCACACAGTGTTCACTGTGGAATATCCTAAATTACTTTTGAATGTGGTGTCAGACTTCTCCCTTAACCAAAAATATCTCCCCTGTGTTTTCCTGAAGTTTCAGACATGTGAAGATAAACTGTTGAAACAGAGTGTTAAAATGTACTGCAAGATGGAGTGTCTTTCACACTTCAGAGTGATCTGAATACAGCTCAAGCTCTTGCAGGTTTTGCTAAGAAATGTCTCAATTTTTAATATAGGCTGTGCTGCTGCTACTAAAAGATTTAGAGCTGTGTTTGCTAAGCATAGTTTCCAGAGAGTCTAGACTCCATTTTTTTTCAGGGAATGTAGCTTAGAAACCTATAATAATTCTGCTCAGATATAGTAAAGACTGTCTTTGTTCCATTTGCTTTGTGCTTATGGTAATGATTTTTTCCTGTACTGCTCTAGGAAGGAATTGCACTGCATGTTTTGCTAACTCAAAAATTACTCTCCCCTTTTGGTTGTTCCAATTTTCTTTCTAAATCTTTATTGGGCATTCTGTGTTTTTCTTGAAGCTACTCTTATTCATTCAATCTGCAGAAAGAAATACCTGAATACTTCATCTTAATGGACTTTGGCATTCAGAATGCACTGTCCAACAAATAAAGCATGGAAAGCAAAACTTCAGCTGAAACTGGAATATTATAAATCACTACAAAGTCATCTTTTTATCATTCAGCGTGTACACTGTCTTACTTACAGACGTTAGGAGTATACATAAACAGTAAGAAGTAACTAGGATTGTTTTTTGTTTGTCAAAAAAACTACCACAAGAAAACCCTGCTTCTCTCATGAAACAGTGAATGTTTCATATAATAGTCTCTGTTCTCTCTCGTAGAATGGCCATGTTTTCTCCAAATACTAAACTGAAGAAAAATAATGTATCAAAGTGCAAGACCAGTTTTAAAGGGTAGGTAATATAGCAACTGCTTTAGAGGAGGAACAAATTTAAATAAATTCTATCATAAATATGTTTTGTAACTGCTTCTCTCATAACCTTAGTTAGGAGTATCTATGGAACTAAAACACACTGTAAATTTGCTGTAAAATGACTGTAGCAAGTGATTCAGATCTTCTCCTGCAGTTCTAATAAGAAAAATAGCTGAATGTGACACAGTGAGTTTTCATGATTTCATATCATATGCCTCTTTTACTTCTAAAGTTGTGTTGTCTTGAGCCTAATCAAGCTTAGTGTAATGGAGTTAAATAGAATATACATGAAAAGATTGTCCAGAGAGGTTGTTGAGATACGGAGATATTCAAGACCTGTCTGGATGCCTACCTATGCAATCTATTGTAGAGCACCTGTGTTAGCAGGGGAATTGGACTCAATCTTTTGAGGTCTCTTCCAACCCCTGCAATACTGTGATGGTTGATTTGATCAGTGGATTCACAGTCATTGTGGACGCAAGAGCTAATGTTTTTAAGAAACTGGCATTTTTTTGTTAATTGATGTGGTATGTTATATGGGAATATTACACACATTTTTTTTTCTACTATATAAAGTCATTCTTCTATGTGTTGCAAATGTAAAAATAAAGGATGAATGCTATTTTTCTTCTTTTTCTTAAACTGTTTCTTAAAATTTTAATAACGTGCACATAGACAAGCCCTTAGATGAATACGTCAGATGATTTCATAATTGATTTACTTTATTGTGGAGGCTTAGCCTAGTTAACAATTATTGTTTTGTTCAGTGTGCTGTTAAGTAGATGATCAATGTCCTATTTCTGTTTATATACAGAAGTATTTTTCATATTGCTTACTCCCACAGCAAGGTAGTTTGCATTTTTAATTGATTTCACTAGATAATTATGTAATTTAAGAAATTTGATTTTTTTTGTAAAATGCTGTGTTAATTCTTTCATAAATTCATAATAGTTGTTGATGTGAGTAATTTAATTATGATAATTTTTAATTTATTCTGATGCTTATTCTGGATTTAGCATAAATTCTCCAGGAAATATACACATAAAAATATTTAGAATAACTCTGCAAGTGATATTTATTTCATTATTGAAATGGCAATAAACTAGGTTTAGACATCTCAATATTTTTCCTCTCTTTCTCTTTTTCCTTTTTTTTTTTTTTAATTTTTTTTTATTTTTCTGAAGTAAAAATAAAGAATATCCACTGGAAAGTTCTCCTCCAATCAACCATGAGGCAGAAACATCCATTAGTTTTCAACCAACTAGAATTTGTTGTGTTCAGTATTCTGGTATGTACAGTTTCATTAAATGTACTATTGTGACCTTGTGGAGACAGAACAACAAAATCTGTGTAGTGTTTATAAAAGCTATGGTTTTCCTAAGTAAACTCCTAGAAAAATCTGGCATCTGCTGCCTGGTCATCATTTTTTAACTTGCAAAACTATGCAATCTGCTAATATGTGTCAAAAGATTCTAATTCTCCATTGATTTTCAATCTTGTTTGCTTTTGGCCCCATTCTATCACTTTTCCACCACAACTTGAAAATTAGTGGTCTAACACGTCAGAATGTTATCTTCTGAGTCATGTACTTGGTGTCATTAAGGCATGTTAGAAGCTGAAGTTCTGTTTCAAAAGAATCAGAATACTCCTTTTTTTTTTTTTTAATTTGAAGATCATTCAGTATTTACAGATCTATTAAAACTATAAAAAAGAATTCTTGAATATAATCCAAAGAAGGATATATTTTTTAAAGGCTTTGGAGAAGCAAGTCTTGTCATAGCTTTTGTCATTTCCAATCCAGGTAAATATTATACAGGAACCTTTTCCTAGGACAGCAATAAAGTATATCACTGAGTACGTTATTATGTCAATGCACGTGCTGCAAACCACAGGATATACAAAGTATTTAAAAAGATGTATCTTTGTAAGTATTTTGGGTACAGGAACAACTTTCATCTTCAAGAAATAAAAGTAAGCTAAAGTTGTCTGTAACTTCCTAAAGCATACCTCAACCCTAAGTGTTCCCTACAGACCTGTAAGAAATTATTTTTATGGCCCATAAGGGAGATTAGTTGTGGAGACCTTATTTCTTGCAATGGTGTGTGAGCTTCACACTTACCAGTCAGCTCTCACACTGAAAATACATACTGTCAAAATCTTAGAAAAAACAGGGAGACTTCTGCAGAAGAGCGCTACCCTACAGCTTAAAGACTATGGGGAGTATGGGGCATGCATTTCTTCGAGTATTTTGTTTAGAAGTAGATATCTTATTTTTGAGAGAAAAATATTTTAGATCATTATTTATTGTATTTAATTACTGACATCTGGAGAAAAAGCCAGCTGAAATATTGCTGGTGAGGCAAAATCAAAACTTAGCACTTTGACAATTTAGTATGCTGGTGTATTTAATAGTTAGTAAGATAGAAGAAGATTCTGGGACGCTTTTTTTTAGCATATTCCACTCCTCCATTTTGCTTCTTATTTTTTAAAATTAACTTTTAGGAACTGGTTCTCAGAGATTATAAATATGGATCTCTTATCCATTTCTATTTTCATTATTTGTTTGGAAAAAAATGTGATGTGGAATTCTGAAACAGCAAGGTGGATGGTTCTGACTTAGTGGAGAGCAGCAGACTGGTGAATCAACAGTCAAACATGACACATTTTGTCACCCTTTCCACATGTGCTCTGGAGACATAGGAAGAAGTTCGAAAGAAGATGCTGCTTTTAAAAAATGCATTTCACAGTGAACCCAGGAGCGTCCACTGATTTGAATTATGCAATTGTGCTTTCTCTCTCATTCCACTTACTTTTTTTCTTTTTTCTTTTTTTGTTTGTTGTTTTTCCCCAATAGATCAATTTGCTGCTTTAATTATTTTAATAGAAACATTAGGGGAGTCAAACCTGACACTGCGTGGTCCCTACTTATCAATAACATAAATGAACCATCCATCCAACTGTGCTTGAATAGCTTTGGGGATTATTTTATGATGTTGACAAGAAATCTGTAACTTTTAAGGACTAATCCAGGATGACTGCTGTGTGCTGATATATATGAGAAACGGATATAGCTTTTAAGATGACAATATGAAAAATGAGTTTAAGTCAGGAAACATTTATATGACTGCTAAAAATTTATATACTAAAAAATTTGGAGCACACATATAGAGCAAATTTCTGCCATGAGTACGTGTTGTGAGAATATGTCAGAAACAGAAGAAATGGTGTATAAGTTCATACTAAATTTTGCAGTATGAGCTTGTGATGTTCATGAAAAAAATTTGTTCGGTGTGAAATATATACTTAGTATTTGTTTTGTTGCAGTGGCACGTGTAATTTTTATGCATAAAAGGATAGCATGTTATTTCCTTTTTTGCTTTCAAACATAAATCAACAGAATCTTTTTACAGGGGATGGAAATTACCTGGCCTGTGGGCTGGCTAACAAGACTGTACTGATATTCAACTCTGATCTCACCAATACACGGCATGTTTTTGCAGGTAAATTTGTGAATTACGTTAGCAAAGAGTAGTATACAATTGAGTTTAACATAAAGTGCCATGTTAATAAACAGATTTCACTTACAACACCCTCAAAAGAACAGGAGTAAGAAATGCTTTTGATTCAGAGAGTAGAAGTTAATGCCTGATAAGTTTGTTTGGTAATTTAAAACTTGCTATTTATTTATTTATTTAAATTGAGAAATGGAAACAAAAACCATTTTTTTTTAAATATAGCAGCATTAACACCTGCATTTTGCTGATTATTAAAAATGTATTTATGCAGAGAAAAGAGGAGATAACAGCAACTTTGCTTTAAGCCTACTATTTACAGCTTTGTTCCCCAAAGCTTTCAATTAAAGTAGATGTGCATTCCAATCAGTGTTGCTTCCTCAGGTGTTTGTGTTCTGTTATGAAGTACAGGTGATGTTGATCAGTTTATAGAAGTGTTACATCCAGCTTGGGCCCTTTTGAAAAACTCTTCTTACAAAACCAGCTAATGTGCTTCAGGATATGAGAATCCTGAACACAGTCTGTTTTGAGTTTACTGGACTCTTTCAAGCCAGCTGACATTTTCTTCACTTTGTGTTCTTTGTTCTTGGGGATACTGGGGACCTGAAGCCTTAGGTTCTTACTCAAACTTCAGATTTTCTTAAAGTCTCTCATGTTCCTTTTTTTTTTTTTTTTTTTTTTTTAATTTTATTCTTATAAAGGTAATAAAAAGCTTCTAAGTGATTTTACAAAACCAAAGCCATCGCATAAAGTTTTGCTTTGGGAGTAAAGTAAGTACTTACCCAGTACCTACACAGTTTTTTTTGTTTGTTTGTTTGTTTTTTGTTGCTTTCTGCTTGTTTTTTATTATTTGTTAATTAAAATACCTTCTTTATAAACCCTTTTGCAGATGTACATTACCAGAGAAGATATTAATTGCTGGCTGTGCTCAGTCACAGCTTGAAGCAGTGGTTGAGCAGCTTGTGGGAAAGCAAGGCCAATCCAGAGGAGCTCAGGTGCATGCAATGTACCTGAGTGGCCAAAAGGTGTGGAGACAGGATCCACCCCTTCCCAAACCTCAATTAAGTGTAGGCATTGGAGGCAAAGACATCTTTTGCTGGGGTTCCCTACCTACCTGAGGCCTTTTGGCTGTAAATAGGTTGTTGTCGTTTGATTCTATGTCTGTGGTTGCTGCCTTTGAGCATGTTCTTGTTTGCTGTTCCTGGAACTTTGCTGCCCCACTATCACTGCTTTTTTTTTTTCTATTGTATTACAGTTGGCTTAAATCTGTTAGTTTTTCTCTAATTTGGACTTAAAATATTTGATATAGGACTTCAGTTGACTGAAAAGAGAATGTGCACTAGAGGGCAGCATGAGCACTTTGAATGTTTTAATTTTGTATGAAGTAAATTAGACTTCATCTGGACAAATTAGGAATGTAATATGGACTGAAATTTGTTAATTTTAACATACTTTCTTATTTTCTGATCAGCATCAATATAAATTTGGACACAATTAAGAACTTTAGCTTTTGATTATGTTTCTGACTTTTGAAGCTTATTCTTCATGGTTTTCTAATCCTTGTTTATCTCATTTTGATGTCAAAGTGGGGAAGTGTGATTCTTGTAGAGGCTTTTTGCAATTGAGGGGGGATTATAATTCTTAAAGTTATCCCCAGTAAACAGATTGTTAATTATTTATGTTTTAACTAATGAAGTGGTCCTATGGAAACTGCTGCAGTGGCATTTTCATTGTCTTTTTATAGAAACAGCTCAGTAATAAAAACCTGATGAGTGAAATAAAATACTGCAACTTTTGAGAAGTGATTTTCAGAGTTCTGTGAAAAAAATCAATTTAACTTATGCTTGGACACTTTTCTTTTGATTAATACTGTGATTATTTTTTTTTTTCCCTTTTTCAAATTGAATTTCAGAGATGTTTCTTGAAAATACTGCTCGACTGAATTTAGGAAATTATGGCTATCTTTGTTTGTGGATGAGTTAGCTTAGTGATTCTTTTGTAACTGCTGTTTTGTGTTTTATGAGAATGAACTTTGAAGTTAGAGCTCACCAATTACATTATTAGTCTTTAGTACTTTGCAGCTTTGAAAAATCAGCTTTTAAGCATTGAAAGTTAAGCATTCAAAATTACTTCTATTTGAAGCCTGATGCAACTCCTGGTGGCCTTTCATGTCCCAAGTAATCTTTCTAAGATTCAGGATTTTTCTCCCATCTGAGCCTTTCTACAGCGGTTGGATTTGTTGCATGCCTGTGACCAAAAAACAAACAAACAAAGCAAGTCAGGCTCTAAAAGGTACAGGCTTTAAAAGGCACAGGCTTCTGCCTTTGGATTTGCTGGATTTCCACACTTCTGTTGTTAAGGCTGTGCGTAGAAAAATTTATCTGGGATGAAGCAATCAGGGCAGCTTATCAGTCAGAGGAAAATAATATATGATTATTATCAGGATCAGTGTGGGCTAGATGATATCTTTTAGGCCTCGCCATGAGACAAATACTGACTAGAAGATAAGTGCAAAGTGTTGTATTATATGATGATCTCGTTTGTCATTTGGGCATTGTTGCAGATCACAGAACTCTGGGCCTTAATAATCTCGGCTGCAATTTGAAATATTTGGTTACCATGTTGTTGGCAGAGTGAAGAAAACAGCCTTTTTACTGTGTTCTGTTCTGGGCACCTCAGTACATAAAGGACATGGAGGTGCTGGAGCAGGTCCAAGGAAGGGCAACAAGGCTTAAGAAGGCCTTGGAGAATATGCCCTGTGAGGAGCTGAAGGAACTGGGGCTGTTCAGTCTGGGTTTAGGTTGGGTATCAGGATAACTTATTTACAGAAAGAAGTTAAAAGCACTGGAATAGGCTCCCAGGGAGGTAGTTGGGTCACCATCCCTGGATGTGCTTAAGAAAGCTTAGCTAGCTTTTATCTTTTGAAGTATTCATTTCTTCTGAAGATAAATTTTATTTATATTTTTTATAACGTTTCCTTTCAAGCCCCTCTTACGCTAATGGAATCAACATCATACAAATATATATGCGATTTCAGGTAGAATAGATTGATATTTCTATGACCATATTTAATTTCGTGTACTTTAGTTATAAACGAGGACATTTTCCCACGGATTTTGGTGGGGGAAAAAGAAATCAATGAGTGGTTTACTGTTACCAGTTTAAATCCAACTGTTCGAAGCCTATATTTAAGTGTATTTTAATGTTACATATAACTGTATTAAAACAGTATGATTAACTCTGGAGAAATGTGTTAGTATAAACGGGGTTTATGATATTTCCTTTATTATTTTTATTAGGTCATGATGGTGCAGTTAACTCTGTTGGCTGGAGTCATGACAAGAAGTGGATAGTTTCTGCATCAGATGATAGAACTGTAAGGGTCTGGTCAGTCTGCAAGAATGAACCTGCCCTAATTCTGGTAATTAGAAACTCCTGTTAGTTTAGATCACAGAAGACGCTACTTTGTGCTTTGATCTAATTTTATTTTAATGGTTCTGTAGGAGGAACATATGGACTGATTTCTAGAGCTAGACTGGTAGTCATTCAAGCTGATACTATGATCTAGGTGATCTTCACTGCCTTCAAATTAGGCTTTTGTCATGGCAATCTAGAAAAAGGTCCAGTAGCCAACTCTAGTGGATGTGTCAGGAAGTTTTTTACTTTAACATCTGCTATATATTTTCTATTTGCATTGGCTCAGCTCTGCTTGTCTTCCTATGGTTACTCCACAATTCACATGGAAGTTTAGACTCAATGGCATTGGAGTCAGTTGACTACAGATACTCTTAACATTACTGCCAATTAATTTAAGCAAAATGAAAACTTCAGAAATAGGAAGGGCAACTACGTAATAGGTTAACCTTCTGGCTTATGGTTAGTTTAGCAGGAAAATTATGCTTTAGTTCTAGTAATCTCAGACAAAAGATGTTTAGTGTCTTAGAATCCATTCTTAATGATATGTCTTGCATTTCAGGGAAAAGAGATGTTCCAGCGGGCTGTAGGCTTTGCACAATTTTATTTTATGGATACATTTATATTGCTGTGCTGTGGAGCTGAATTTCATCTATTAAGTTTCCATCTAGATGCAGCAAAGGATGACCTAAGACGGTGAGTTAAATCCTCATCAGAAGAACAGTAAAAACACACGAAACTCCTTTTACTAAGTGAGCTGAGATTTTCTTGGGAGTAAGGTGGGATGGAGGGCTGTCTTAGGAATGATATTTAGATGAGAGTTGAACAAGCTAATTGACAGAACAAAGAAACTTTTGTGCAATGGGGGAGTAAGTAGGGGGAAGGGATTATCAATAATTCTTATACTGCATGCATTATTGGGTGCATGTATTTAGAATTGGTTAGAATTACCATTACTTTTAATAATCTGGGACTTTCTATACTTTCTACTTGTTTACATCGGTATCTTAAGTTATGATTGAGTAGCTTCTGCAATTCCTCTTCTTGGGAATATTTTTAATTGCATTTTCTTTCAGAGGCTCCAATATGCTGCAGATGTTTTCTTCATTTTCTGTGAAATGGAAGCAGATTACTTTCATTTTTATTTACTTTCAATCTATTATATATGTCTAATTGATTTCCTTATGCATCTTTTTTTCCATGTAATTGGTAGCATCCTTCATGCACTTTTTACTAATTGCTCTATTGATTATTAACTTGCTCCTCTTTTCTGGCATGGAATCAAGTCTTCCTATTTAGTCTGTCTATACCTTTTTTGGATGTTTGTTCACTATTGCAGCTAAATTGTCCTTGTATGTTTTTTACCAAGTTTTCTGTTCTTCACTTACTCTTGCTGGTTTTCAGCAATATATTTGTCTAAGGTATTTTATTATATCCAAATATGTATGTGCTTATATATGCACACTGTGTGTTTAAACACAGTAGTATTAAAAAAAAAGAATCTCTTCAAGATTGGTTTCTCATTGCTATGACTATGTAATTTTTTTTTTTTTTTTAGAAGAATAGGAAAGTGAATTAAGATTATGGCACTGAAGTCTATTAGTTGATACTGTGAATAGTGTGTTATTAAGTAGCATTGAGCCTCATTCATAGATGGGGAAGACTGGCCAGTTTCCTTGGATGTTTAGCCACAGTTCATGTTTAAATATTTCTTTGAATAGGAGTATTTTCCTGGATAGAGGATGTTGATCTTCACTGAAATTTTAAATAGTCCTAAAAAAAAAAAAAAAAAAAGAGAGAGAGGCTAAATTACATCAGTACTTTAAAACACATTTTGAAAGCAGATTTTTCCTTCATATTTGAAAAAGTAACTAATGGATTGTGATCTAATTTCAGTTTGTAAATTTCTCCAAATGTTTACTTAATTGTGGATTTCAATGATCTGTCTGGTTTTACTGTTAATGCAGAAGTACTTGTGACCTTTTAACTTCCATTTCTTGTCAAAATCCTTAATGGAGGATGTGCTCTGGCCCTTAGTTATATGATCTTAGTCATATATTGTCATAGGAATGCACATAGACACAGCACATAGACTGGAAACGCAAAAATATGCGATTAGGCTCTCCAGGATATTAGTGTAATGCCAGTAGACTGAATGTAATTGTAGACATTACAACAAATCCACAAACCAGTCTGAGGCTTGATTATATGCGTTGATTAACCTCCAGTACCTATTTTTTTTTTTTAAATTTGCTTTGACATTTTCTTGTGGCTTCCCTCCAGTTCATTTCCCAGCACTTCTTTTATGAAAGATTGTGTCATTTCTTTTGTTTCTCACAACTCTTAATTTTGCCTTCTGAGTCAAGTTTGGAAGAATGCTTGAATGGAGCTGATTCAAGGAGAAGCTGGATCTAACCCCCCAGAGCATGCTTTATATCCTTAATTAGAAGAGCATGATTATACTATCTGACTAACCAATGGATTGTTACCGCATTTTGGATGGGAAACAATACAATGACAAATCTTATCGATATTTCTCTGCAGAATTTTAAAAACTATTTGTTAGTATTAATTAGCTAAGTGTTACAACAACTTATTTTGATGGTTAAATGCTGGTTGAGTTTCAAAACTGTAATTGAAAAGTAGAAATAAAGTGTTCTTCATAAATGTCACAGAGGATATTTATTGCATTTCTGGGAATAAAATACAAATTTCTTGATTTCTACATCTGATTAATCTCAAAATGTTTCACAACCTAAACAAATTTGTGTTCTTCAAAATTTCTCACCAGTGAATTTCCACTGTTGTCAGCAGTTGTGCCTGCTAATGTGAATTGTAGATGTTTTGTTTAATTTTTTAAAAGTTTTTAATTATTTTTACTTTCCATATGAATTTAAGCAAAACAAAATCTAATCTTGTTTTATATTTAGTTTCATGTGTTGTTCTAAAGACCAGAAGGAGCCATTTGAAAGGAGCTTAAAGCAAATAAAATTGCATTCAAGTAACAGAAGCATTGCTTTTCAAAGCCATTGTGTGATATAATGCCTAATATGGTGAAATGTTCCTAATGTTTTTTAAATAAACAAGCTATGCTCTTCTCCTGAAAACAACCATTCTGTAAATGTATTTCACCCCAGAATGACTGTATCTCCAAAATATGGATGACATAAGGCATTACAAATAAGACATTTAAGACTGTTATCGGTTTCCAGTGATTTAAGGTATTAAAGGAGGATAGGGTTATAATTTGGATTATATAGAAACTGTAATTTTAGGATTGCCAGCTGAGATTATGTATTGTGCATAGAACTGGAAACCTGGAGAAAACAAACAAAAACAATGTGAGAAGATACTATGCAGCCCTCTTTGGTTTTTCTAATTAGCTTTTTGTTGGCTTGGGATGGTGGTATAATTTAGACCTGTTTATGTTACAGTAGTCACTTGAGTTTTCATGTGATTGGAGTTTTGCCTGTACGTGCTTCCTGTTAGCTTTCATTTGTGCTGTGTTTTCTAGGACTTGTCTTAGTGTATCCTAATATCTGAAAACAGCTTCACAACTTAGCAATAGGACTAGAGGGAATCATCTCAAGTTGTGCTGGGGAGGCTCAGAAAAATTAATCTTTAAAAGAGTGATCAGATGTTGAACACAGGCGGCTGAGGGAGGTGGTTGAGTCACTGTCCCTGAAGGTGTTCAAGAAACATTTAGATGCTGTTCTAAGGGACATGGTTTAGTGGGCAAACATTGGTGGTTATCCAACGATTGAGCTAAATGATCTTGGAAGTCTTTTCCAACCTTGGTGATTCTATGAATTGGCTTTGGCAGCCAAATGGAAATCCTACAAAGGAACTGTCACTGCTATAATGGCAAGCCATCAAATTTATTTATGTAAACTGTCCAGACTGGAATTCTTAATCTTTCATTAACGCCAGCATTTATTTTACGTATTTTGTAGATACAAACAGAAAAGTATTTGCAAATTGGTACAGAAATTTCCCATGGCTTCAACAGTGGAGATTACCAGCCTTTCAGCAGTGAATGATTTCTACTCTTGTATCCTTCAGCAAATTCTTATTTTCTTCTTGGAGTGTTGAATCTAATAATATGGGAAGAGCTGTAAACTAATTTTTATTTCTTTCGTAACTTTTGTATCAGTGTTGATATCGTATTTTTGGGGTACTGAATTTAAGCCTTAGAACTGCTTTTTTTGTTGTTTTGTAAGACACTAAATACAACAAAACGTTCATCTGTTTTTGTTCCTTTAGATCAGTTTAACTTTAACACAGAGAATTTTACAGATATTGTACTTACAGCTGGCAGCAACCGAGCATTGGAAGTTTTTGATCTCAATGCAGGCCACAGCACAGCAGTGATACCAGAAGTTCATACTAGAGCAGTCCATCAGATCTGTCAAAACAAGGTATACATATTACTGAATATCTAGAATAGCAGACGTGCATCAGCAAAAAAAAAAAAAAAAAAAATCAGATTAAATACGTAATTAACCATCATCAGTAGAGTTTGTGTTGGGGATGGGGAGGAACATAATTTTATGTGATAAATGCATATCCACAGACAAGATCTCATTCATTCTCTAGTGGAAAGCATGGAGTGGTAATAATCACTGAACAAGCAGAGCAGTGTGTCTTAAACTTAGCAGTACTTGGGCAGGCTACTAACATCAGTATTGCAGAATTTGTTAACTGTAAGCGTCTGAAATGTTTGTAGACTTCTAGTTATTTTTTTTAGCTAACTGCTAACACTTGTCACATCTTTGACATTGACTTGAGTGCTTTTTCTAACTGATTTGTTGCAGTATTTACGTAGATGCATTTGACTTTCACACTGAATTTTGATCCCTCAAAATATTTCATGACTAAGAGGAAACAAGTTTAACATTTAGTTCCTGCATGGGGAAATAGAGCTGTAGAAATTCTAATGATTCTTGTAACTTATTCTAGCATGACCTCTGTGTTATTTTACCTGGAACCAAAATTGTTACATACATTGTTCTGAGAGTATTATGCTTGGGGGGCTATATAGACTCCTAATAGTCTTCCCCTAATATGCAGAAGAGAAGTTAATAATTTATATGTTAAATAATCATTTTGTATTTAAATTAAAAAAAAAAAAACAACAACAGCAATAATACGAAACAAACAAAACGCAGCCAAAATAATCCAAAGAGAATAATACAGCAAATGGCCATTTTCAGAGCAGACTGTCATTGCCTAAAGTTGTTCTCATGCATAGTTTAAAGTGCACTGTGCATAAATCAGCAAAAGGGCTTCTTAGAAATAAAGGTAATTGTAAGATCCTTGGCTGTGAGAGAGGTGAGGGGGAAAAAAAAAGCCTTGTGTGTTTCTTGACCCAAAAGATTATATAGAAGGGAAAAAACAGTTTGGAAGTAAGACAAATAAGTATTTTAATTGCTGTATTATCTGAATAGGAGTTCATTGTTCTTAGGAAACTGTCAACCTTGCTTTTTCTTCCATTTTGAACTTTCTTCTGTAAAGTAGCTGCAAAATAACCTTAAGCTGATAAATGTATTTTGTTTACTCTTTTATTACTTAAAACTAAATTACAGAACATACAACCTAGTCTATATATAAATGAATGATGAGCTTGCCTTATTAATTCTGTATTATGTGACTCTAGGTTTGTTGCCTTATGTCTTATGCAAGTGTTCTACAGAGTTGAATATGAAGTCATCTGGTTTATTTGGGGATTTTGGAAAAGGAAAAAAAATTGCTTAGTATTGCAGTGGAGTGGATAACTTCAAAATTCCTCTAAAAACAAAACAAAAAACAACAAAAACAAAACGAAAACTTGAAGATTGATATGAACATTTGGGAATTTTATGTTCCTGTGCATGTTAGAATGCCTACTGTGTTAGGTTTTGTTGATTCTTTTCCATTTGGAAAGCCCTTATTTCTGTGGGTTTAAAACAGTTCCTTATTACTACTTTTGTATAACACTTTGTGGGTTTTCCTGTGAGATGTGATCTGGTAAAGCACTTAAAATTCTGCTAACTATTTCAGTGCTATTTGTAACACATATAAAGTTTTGGCTTTTCTTTTTGCTTGGTCAGCTGAGTGGCTTCAGGTTATTTAATCAAGAAAAACTTTAAAGCTGTGGACAAGTATTCACTTGGGAGAAAAACTAGAGGCATGTGGTATAGCAAAGAAAATTCCTTATTTTGGAGGGAAACTATAGATCAAGGTTCTCAGTTATTTTTTCAGTTACATAAAATTAATACTTTAGCTAAGTCCATTGGAAAATTACACCGTCAGCTATCTTGTTACATTAATATAAATGGCTACTGTGTGTGTGTGTGTGTATATATATAGGTGCATTTGCTTTAAGATAACATGTTGAAATATCTTATAGATTTTTCAAAATAATGCAAAATGCTGTATGTAAACTATATCCTTTTTAAGTGTAAAACGTACTGGAATCTAAGTCTATGACTACCCTACCTGTTGGAGAGGGATGATGCAGGAGAAGCAGATCTGTGGAGCGAAGTAGTTTTAAGGCTCTAATATTTATGGAGACTTTTGTTCACGCTAGACCAACTCTAACCTTTTGAACTGAATGCTCACTAATGGTTGCAGTGTATTAGGTGTATTCTTGAAGTATTTTTTTTGGTTTAGCTTCATACAAGAATATATCAGTATCCATGTTCCAAGGTTGCTGTTGTGTGCAATCTGAACAGGGGAAAATGGAGATACCAGATTTTCTTTTAATACAAACAATTGAAGAAGTCTATTCACTAGTGTTTTATAAAAACCTCCTGAAGGTATGGTTTGATTGTGATTTGCTTATCTGTTCCATGTATAGGACATTCTAGTAACATATAAATCCAGTATGGCATTCAGTTCTTGATGGTTTTGGACAGCAGTGGTACACAAGTACGTATACCTTGTGGTGTTATTACTTTAAGCAGTTCTTTTTGTCAGTTCTGGAGATTACTTGTGAGAATGTCAATGCATGAGATGTGTCTCAGCCTTCAGGGTACTTGATTAAGCTTACTTTATCACTTGGAATATGTTCGTAGTCATCAGGCTATGTCTGCTGTAAATAGTATCCTGAGTCTTCTTCCAGAACAGTTTAGCAGGAAATATTGCAAATATGTATATTGATATGTAAGATGGCAGCAATGGTTATAAATGATCTCTTAAAGGGTGATGCTGCGCTAATTTTTTCTTGGAAAACCATTTTAACAGATGCACATGAATGCTGTTTCCTTTTAGAATTTTATGACTCTCTCTATAAATATGTTTAGAAGATAATGAGTGGAAGTAAAAATTAACTAAACTTGTCACGTTACTTGTTTGTGCTGTAACATGCTGTTGAATCTGTGTTTCTGTAAAGATACTCCCAGATTATATGCAATGTCTTTCTATTTTACAAGCTGTTAGCTTTTGTTTTTTATTTTTTAGGTATGATACACAGAATTTATGTGAAAATGTGTAGACCCCAACTTTGTTGGGAAATCAGTGGCAAGTGCATTTCTGCTCATTTGTTAGAGCAGGCTGTGGTAATCCTTAGCTTAGGAAATGAAAGCTCCTGTAGTCTGAGTGCCCAACTTTGTCTTGCAGTTTGGCCAATTCTATTGACTGGAGAACTTTCCACCCATATACCAGTTTCTGTAAGAAGTAGAAGATTCCTGGCAGTTGAGCACTGATTGCGGGAAATGGCTTTGAGCTTTCCGTGATGTATTCAGCAAATCAAGAATGTGAATGGTAGGGAAAGGAAAGGAGGAGTTCCAACTGTTTATATTTAGTTCCCTGGAGAAAGAAGGTTTTAGCCAGTAAAAAGGTCAAGGTTTGCCAATGTGGATTTATAAAAAACAACAGAGGTCTAAAGATATCCTGGATTTAATTATTTAAAGGTATGGATCCCAAATCAGTTATGAGTGAGCACAATTACTATTGAAACAGAGTGCCCACTTAAGCCAGGGCTAAACTTGGCTTTTAGTTCACAGTATCACAGAATTGTAGGGGTTGGAAGGGACCTCCAGAGATCGAGTCCAACTCTCGTTGGGTTGAACACTTGACTATGCTGGTTATCTGTATTGTGTGGTTTGTCTTTGTCAAGGTAGTTAATTCCTTGAAGTTTTCCTTTTTACTCTTCTTGTCCCTCACCTGAACTGTAATAATATTTGCAGTCTGAAAAAAGTAACTTCAAACTAGAAGTTGTTAAAATAATTCCTGCTTGCATTGGATATCAGTTTACTGTGAAAAGAAAATTGATTAGTTATTTTATGATTGTTACAGTCCTCTAATTAACTGTTGAAATTTATTATTTATTACTTGCTAATGAGTGGCCAAGGGCCAATTCAGGTTTTGGTAATTGATCAATATTTTGGTCGTGCCTAGAAAAAGATGTAGAATATTTAGTCTTTGATGGCATGAAAAGTATTTGAAGTGCTATTGATAAAGAAGCATTCATTGCCTGGAATGCTTTTTTTTTTTTTTTTTTTTTTTTTTTTTTTTAAATTTCTGTGTCAGATGGCTTTAACCTTCTGGAAGTCAGCTCTACTGGCCTCTTCATACCCTGAAATGCACACACACCTGGTTACCAAGCTACTTCACCTGCTTGCTGGCTAGTCCTTGAAGTTTGCAAGTGATAATATGCTTGCTTATGCACCCTCAATTGTCCCAGTTGCTTGTACTTCAGACACTTGGCCCCTATTGCCATGGTCCAACTTCAGCTGCTGTCATGTGATTTCACTCATTCTGATCTCTCCAGTTGCTGGCACCTAGACCAACAGGCCATCTGATCTGTGCTCTCACTCCAGTTGCTGTTTCCCAGACCTTTGCTATTCCAGGACACACAAGCCCGTAAAGTCTTGTTCAATCACAGTGTTTTTCCCCTACTTCCATAATTAACCCCGTGCTTATTGTCAACTATTACTGTCACTTAGAGTCCCTGTGACTCGTTTTTGGTAGGAGGCGCCCCTGGATCAAAGGGCTCATGGCTGTCCTGGAAAGAAGTTAAGACAAAGCTACGCTTTTCTGTTGGAGTTGTAGGGGTTTCTCCACATGTCAGTGTTTCTCTGTACTCCTTTGTGTTTCTGCATAAAAGCTTTCTATCCCATAATCTAATAAAATACTTAACATTTATTCTTGAATGATCTAATCTTTAGCACTACAATTGTTACTTCAAATTAATTTTAATATTTACAGGGATCAGCGTTCAGCACTCAGAAGCCTGAAGCTTACAACCTTTTCATGACCACAGCTGTAGGAGATGGAATCAAACTCTGGGATTTAAGAACTCTCAAGTAAGGCTGAATTAGATATCTTGGAATAAGAGGGCATTCTTTTATTGTCTTACTTGCTTTGGAATTGGATCTGTAGATTTTTACTCCTTGGTTCCTCAGTTGTAGTTACTTATATGTAAATCATTAAACAATCAAGATTTATCACCTATATGTTACCCACCTTGATATCTAATTGTATTTATAAAATAGTATATAGAACTGGATGCTAATGTTATTCCAAAACAGCATATCGTTACTGCTAAGGAAGGTAACATTTATGATCTAGCTTTTAAAATGTAAATATAATTGTAGCAACATTATAATAAATTGTCTACATAGTTGTGTAAATATGCATACTACATTATGATAAACTCAGAATAATATGCTGCAATTTTTCAAAAAATCTTATAATGTACTTGGGAAAGCTATGGGGTAGAGAGAGAGTGGTAAGAACATTACACAGTAAAGGAAATACTTAGGACAAACTCTTTAAATGCAGTTCTTTTAGCCAGCATAAAAGGAAAGTGATTTGGATGGGAAAGATGCTCAAATATATAACAATAATTCATGTTCATTCTGAGTATGTAAACATCAAAGGAGTTAAAAATATTCTTTTCTGCTAGTGAATTTTCTATTTAGGAAATGCTTACTGATTGTTTCCATTATTTTCATGTTTCTGTGGTAAGAATGTATTAAACCTATAGGGGGCACGTGTGTTCTTGCCAAAAGAATTACTGTATTACCTGTACTGAGTGTCAGAAAATAATGAAACTAGAGAATGCGGAGGTTGGAATATGTTACCTTCTTATGTTTTTCTAATAAGCTGCCTTAACTCTGTTGCTAGAAGAGTAATGAAAAAGTAAATAGCTTTTCACAGGTCACTTATCTGTCTCTTCATTTCAAAATACTTATGAGTAGAGCAGGTGAATGGTAAAATAGTTAAAGTGTAAAGTCTGGGCAATCAATTAAATAAATAGGTCCGGGGAAGAAAGGAATAATTTATGTTCTTGCTTCATATTTAATTTGGCCAAGTCAGTATATTCTAGTGTCTGCTGAGTTCTGTTAGTCAAACTTTAAAAGATTATTCAAGTTCTTAATGACCCATATTTTTGGGGTGTGCATACGTGTGTTTGTTTCATGTTATACAGTGTTCAATGATGGTAACCACTGTAGAGAAAAAATAAATCACTTTTGCAGCTTTTTTGGGGAGGGTAACTCAATTTTTTAAAAATGAAATTTTCTCTCATTCCTCTGGCTACAGGTTAAATCTTCTGTATTTTAAAATCTATTCTTGAGTTCTCATAAGGAAGAAAGCTGTTCACTTTTTCCTAATGTGTTCACCAGGTGTTTTACACATAAATAATTTTGAAATGGCTGAGTTTGGAAAGTTCTATCTGAGCTTGGAAAAGGTCTCCACTAAGTGTTAGGTCTACTGTACAGTTACATGTACTGAAAACTTCTTGCTTTTCTGTTTACATGTCTTGTCCAATCAAATCCAGTCCATCCCTTACACATACAGAAGAGATTCTTAATCTTATGGTGGGCCAATTCCTTTTATCTCTTACACTTGCTGATTTGTGAAGTTAGTGCATCTGCCATTACTATGTTTTGAATAGTCCCTTTGGAATGACCTCTTTTTTTTTTTTTTTTTCTGCTTTGGGTTTGCCAGAGTAACATTTGTTCACTGAAATCTTTTTCCAGTGTTTCTGATATATAGAAAAGGTAATTCCACCTTCTCATTTGTAGTGTTTGCAGCACTGTGAGTAGTAACACTGATTTCAAGATCTCAATTTTTTTGATTTTTTTTTTTTTTTTTTTTTTTTTTGTTCTAAATGTTCAGGCAACCATGTTGAAAACTGTTTTTACCTTCTTATTTTTCTTCCTATTGCCTTTTTCTTTGGATCCTTTTTCTTATTCTCCATTTGTCATTCTTCTGACATGGTTTGCTGGTATGCATTGCTTTAATCATAATTGATTAAGGAATCATACAGTGCTCAGGTGTGTTTTTTTTTTAACCCATGCATAGTGTATATTTTCAGACATTTGAACCTGACTTTACAGCTTTATAGACTTTGAACATATTCAGTTTTTTCTATTTTTTTCTGAATTTCACAGACTTTTTTTTCTTCCTCAGTCAGTCTGTATCATCAAACTTCTTTTTTTGTCACTGTGGAAATTAATTTATTTAATCTTTTCTCTGGTCTTGAAGTCAATGAGAGTGTTTTTGCACTTTCAACTTCATCATCCTTACTGAATAAAGCTGTGAATCCATCTGTCTCTTTCAGTACTGGTGGTTTGGAAGCATTTCAGCACTGCTTCAAAGAGTGCCAGAAAATCTTATGAGTTCCTCTGAAGGTGGTACAAGAAAAGGCGTTTTAACTTTCTGATGTTGCCAGCCAACCTCACACAGCCAGGTCATCTTGCCAATAAATGAGAGAATCTTGGACATTACTAGTGATGTTTGGACTTGCTCAGACTCCTGCTTCATTTGCTTTTAAATGCGTGGATTTTTAAAGTTACATCTGAAGATAGTCAACATTTTTATACTTCTCCTGCATTCTGCTCCTCATTTAGAACCATAGCTAAGAAAAGCTCCAGACAATCTAGAAAGCAACATAAAGCACTAAGGAGGTGAGGTTAGATCTTTTTGGAAGAACTGCCAACTTTGGCTGCTGTTCTTTCAGGTTGCTATAACGAGGTATCAGGCATTATAAATGCATGTGATGGGGTAAGATAATGACTTCTGATCAGCTGTGGAAAGCATATTAAGCCTTTTTGTCCAAACAATGGCTGGATGGAGGAAAAAGTGAAATTACTTACCTATAGTCTAAGTTAGATGCAGTGAACACATTAGATTCCTATTATTTCTCAGTTTAATTGAGAATAATTTTATAGTTATCAGCTAAAGGATTGCCAAGAGTCAGACAAATGTTTGACCAGGAGTTTGCATGCTTAACTTTTTTAAGAGTTTAAGTCCTCTTTGTGATGAAATGTTGTAGACTCTTAATTGCCCATGAAACACAAAAGCTCTACCATTTTGTTGTCTTTGCCCATTTATCTCCTGTTGAATGTATTTCATAAACATTACAACTTCTCTTGAAGTCAGGAGTCTAGCACTAATTCACTGTAGAATCTAGAGTCTAGCAGTGATGTCTATATCTGTTGCCTTTACTATTTATATCATCTTTACATCTGTATTGGAATGACAGCAGTTGGCGGAGCCAAATAGAGATCAAGCCTTCTTATCCACGAGCCCTGTGTTTTTAGTGACTACTGTGTTTCATCAAAACAGCAAGTGGTGAGAGACAGATTTCTGCATCTCACTGCTGTGAAATTGACGTTTAGAACATAGTAACTTAAAAGCTAAGGAAAATCCCATTCCCTTACACAATAAAACTATAACAACCACAAATGATAGACTAGACTAAATGCCAGCTGATTCCTTATATTTGTAATCTGAACTTCATGTGACAGTTTTTACTTCTTGCCCTTCATATTTTTTTCTTCCCACTTACAGATTAGGTAATGGTGTGATATAATATCCCCAATAAAGAAAGCTTCTTCCCTTCATGATGTGAGGAGGAAACCACCAATTCAAAGTGTTGCCCTCTATACTTTTGTAAATGTCTGATTTATTGACAATGAACGTATAGCATAAGCTCACATTCACCAGCAAAATTTCATGAGTACTCTTCATGATGGGCTGATATGGGAGGGGTGGGGGGGGGAAATCATCTGTCCAGATTTCTGCAGCAATTTGCAGTTTTCCTTGCATGTTTCATTTCAAGCAGACATAAGAGGAGTTACAGAATGTAAATAGTTGAAAGCCTTTCTTCCAGGTGGATTTCAACTCTTCTGCTTTCTTGCTCATCAGTAAAATGTGGCTGAAGTCATATTGGCATGTAGGTTAGATTCATCCTTGTTATAACACTAATTGCATGTCCTAGAATTATCTTGGTTTTTCAGAAGTAGCTTAACTCAAGCTACAGACTGTACTGTGAGGGACCTGAGAGCCTCAGTGGGCCTTAAATACTCAGACCAGCCTTGACTCATTACTGATGCACTCTGTCCTTTGCTCCTGGCTCTCCTTTTAAGCTTAGTCCTGGGCATCCAGTCTTAGCCAGAACTATCTTATAGGTCTATGCCTTATTTGCCCTTGAATTCTTGGCAAATTTCCCACTTGTGTCAGCCCTTCTCTTTCTGCATCCTGATGAGCATTCACAGTTTTATTTATTTTTCACATAATGAGCTTAAGTCTGGAAATGCATGCTAAGGAATGCCTTGTAATTTTTTTTTTTTAAAGTTTCCACTCCAGAAAATATACTGATAATTAAAACTAAGTATGAAGGCTGTGTTCCATGCAGTTTGGAAATCAGACTGGTTAACATTCCAAGAGAATGTTATTTATTCAGTTTTTTAATAGTAACATTCGTAGTATATGCAGAAATCTGTAAAGTATTATATAAACAGCAAAGAGTCTTTTCATGATCTAGGACATGAATAAACATTCTATCTCTGTCCTCATCAGTTATTTCCTTCCCTTTGCAGGAAGAACACCTGCAACAACAGAGCAGATGTCTTAATTCAAGACACTTAGTATTTGGAAGAGTATGAGTTTATCAGGGCAAAAATTCTGTTTGTGGAAGCAAATTGGCTGCTTTTGAGGTGTAGCCTTACATTATCTATTCAGAAGTTGTTCTTATATCTATCTGGTCATAGACATTGTTTCTGTAATTTCTATATATAATTAGTTTTTATTATTTTCTAAGGAGTCGGCCCTTTGGAAGGTGCAAGGTACAGAGAAATAAAAGCTAGTTAGCCTCACGTCAGTCCTGGGGAAGGTGGTGGAACAACTTGTTCTGAAAACCATTTTATGGACTGCAAAGGTCCAGAGTCATCAGGAGTAGTCACCGTGGATTCATAGGAGGAGGGGAGAAGTGGTGCTTCACCAATGTGAACCTCTGTATTGGAATGGCTGGCCTGGTAGACAAGAGGAAAGTGGTGCATGTAGTCTACTTGGA